TTTATGTTTATATATGTTGGATTTTGAAGGGGTGGGGAAGGAAGAGAGTATACAGACATTTTTGTATAAAGAGTCGGCTTCTTTGAGGTGAAAAGGGAAAAAACGTTGGTAATAGTTCGGCCAGATTATCCTTTCAGGATTATATAAACAGGGATAAATAGGAAAAGGAAAGCTACATTGTTGAAAAATTAGACTATGTAAAAATGTTTGATATGTGGAATGTGATGAATGTTTTATATGTTATAATATGTGTTTCGATGATATATGTATGTTATCTATATTGAATTTGATTAATGATATTGGCGTATCTGCGACTGAGTTTACATGTGTCTGTTCTGTAATTGATGCTGTGTTTACCTCGGTTGATGTAAACCATTTCTGAAAAGTTTCATTTATGACATCAACAGAGATAAACACAGCATCAATTACAGAACAGACACATGTAAACTCAGTCACAGCTACACCAATCTCATTAATCAAATTCAATATAGATAACATACATAAAAATATATCATCACATCACACAAAACATATAATATAACATATAAAACATTCATCACATTCCACATATCAAACAGTTTTACATAGTCTAATTTTTCAACAATTAAGCTTTCTTTTTCCTATTTATCCCCGTCTATAAAATCCTGAAAGGATAATCTGGCCGAACCATTGCCAACGTTTTTTCCTTTGTCGGCTCTTTTCACCTCAAAGAAGCCGATGCCTTATACAAAAATGTCTTTTCTATCCCGACTTCCTTCCCCACCCCTTCAAAATCCAACGTATATAAACATAAAACAGCGATATCTCACTGGCACTTTCAACACGACATGCAAGAATGACACTCTTATGCAGAAAACAAAACGCTTTGAGTGAAGAGAAATACTTTTCTTTTTTTTCTTTAATGGCTTTATGTTTTGAGCATATTAGCCAATGATAATGTTATTATGCGTATTCATTTTTAGGGGGGGAAGGGTAGCGTGAAAAAAAGGCCAGAGGAGATGGTGGGAATCGAACCCACGACTGCAGGATCTACAAGCCGAGAGTATCTCACGCTAACTACTCGGCTACCGCGGCCCCCAATATACTTTGACTGAATATAAAAAAAAAATTTATTTTTTTTTTGCATTATATAAATTCAATTTTTTCCATATCCTACATGTATTTGTTCAATTTAAACAATGTTTATAAATCCCAGGCCCTGAAGTTGATCTCAATAAAGATCGAAACGTTGGCACTATAAAGAAAATGTTTTTCTGAAACCTACATCACACCAGACTGCATCTCACGATTTCTGAATTATCTATTTATTTATTTTAATTTAATTTTTTAATTTGTATTATTTTTGATCTCTGCATCTCCAAAAGGGTTCACTATTGCCCCTGATAAAATAGTGTGTAGGTTTCTCCAGGAATTTCATCTCTGAACTTTTCATACCAGCTAACGATATTTTTAAAAATTTACATTGTATTTAAGAATAAATTTTCCTAGTCAATATACAACTCTGACAGACATATCCAGCTTCTCTCGGATGCTTTAAAATGTTTATATAGATAAGCTAAGTGCTCTGCTTCCATGTCAAACTAGACAAAAACTAGAATTTGGTCACAAGCGAGCTTTGTCTTCCAAATAAAGACGTCCGCTTCTGAACCAAGGAAACCATGGATGAACAGTGTTTGTTCCTAAACTGTTACCACATACATATTACTAATTTTCCTAATAGTCTGAACTGCAGTCTACCTTTTATAGTAATAAAAAAATATATTAAAATGATGAAAATATACTATTTCTTCCACCGTTTTAAATTAGCAAAACAGCTTGTAAAAATATGATATCTTGAATTAAAATGTTGAATAAACATAACTAATCCAATTTCAGAGTGTCTAAACATAAACGGTTTTTCAAAACACTAATAGGGTAAATTTGAATTATTGAAAAACGCTAAGGCCTTGTACAATCCAATAGTTTACAACTGACCTTGTATTTACATAAACCTATTTTATTATACATACCAAAGCTGAAGAATCAACATTCGCAATAAATGACTGAGGTTCATAAACAAAATCTCTAATACTATTAAAAATCATTGTGCTTTCTCCAGCCCTGGAAAAAAAAAATAAAATAAAAACTGGTTTAATTTCTCTATTGACTGAATCAGTGAGTCAAATATTTGGACACCTACGAATAAATATTATCTACAGCTGTAGCACAGGTCATCCAATGTTGAAGCCACGTTACATCTGTAGATAAATTACGCCAGTTTTTGCTTTGTGGAGCTGTTGTGTCCTTCAAGTCCCAGTATTTCAAAAATTTATCATGTGCACAGCTGACAAGGTGTGTATCACTCATTGGGCTAAACATAAGTCCTAAAAAAATTGACAGATTATAATAATAATGAAACGGTACAAGATAAATGAAAAACTTGCCGGTAATGATGGAATAGTGCGCTTGAAATACTTTAAAAGGATAAAGAATCTTTCCACGTCTCAGAAGAGAAGAGGTTGACAAGAGGTCCCAAAGTGCAATGTAACCATTGACAAATCCACCTGCTATCGTCCTGTAATGTCGATTATTAAAAATTATCTAACATGTTAGATTTCGTCTTGTAGTCTACGGGGTGATAAGCCTACAATTTGGTCGTTACTGATCATTTTATGCCTATCCTCGCTGGGCTTATCTGTCAGATGTGCTTCGGCATTTTGCCTTCTTCAGTATTTTGTGTAACTTGGCTCATCCTGTTTATTTTGTTTTTACCTAGGTTAACTACAAACCCAGTACTGAAGATGGTGAAATGCCGAAACGCCTCTGATAGACTAACCAAAATGATCAGTAACAACCAAATCACAAATTATCTGAACTGTTGGAGAACAAAAATCCACTTTTACCTGTGAGGTTTTACTTTAGACCAACTTATTCTGGTGCACTGATATTTTTCATAAGGTCCTAATTCTAAAATTAAAACAGGCTGAGGTTTACAAGCAGGAAATCTAAAAATAAAAAGCTGTGTAAATTTTAATTTGATTCGTATAAATTTTTAAAAATACCTAATTTCACTGGAGGCTTTTGGCTGAGGAACCGAAAACAATGGGATAGAACCACTGGCGGATGCCACTGCAAGGAGGCCCATTCTTTTGTCATTCTGGCATCCGACTGGACACCACTCCAATGCCCATGCGCCACCGAAGTCGTGACATATTAAATATTCAAGCCTCGTACCCACGAATGAAGTTTGCCTAAAAATAAATTATTGTGATTACAAAAAAAGTGAATTTATATCGAGTGACTCACTTGGTGTTCGCCAGATCTCCGAACGACCAAATCTGGATGTTTCCGGGACCAGAACAGGTGGAAGACACTTGGTAGAAATCGGACATTGACAGGTGAGCCCCAATCGCCAGGAACTGCCTGTTGTTCCCAGGAGCCCAGCCAAGAGCGAAAATGGGTCCGCCACAAAATATAAAAGCCGCATGATCTGAAGAAAATCAAGAAAATTTACCTTTCAAGACTAGTTATCAATTTTTGTACATAATTTTTTTAATTTTATTATAATGTTACAAAGCACTAGAGAATTTGCTGTCTTAATGAGTTTTATATTATAACATTTTAAGAGTAAGAATCCATCATTTACAGACCTAACACAAAACCTCACTAGGATGGAAATCATAAGGCTATTGGTGCTTTAGGTTCTAACAAGATTGTCGAGGGGCTCAGTATGAAAGGGTATTGGGCTAGACAGTGGTCGGCAAATCGTGGTTTGCGAGCCCATGCGGCTCTTTGACTTCTTGGCTGCGATTCTTTCCCTACACTAAATGTTTAGTGCAGACACGGAGCGAAAAGTATGACGGTGCAAGAAATGGGATTGTCGCTATTTTTAAAGAAAAAATTAATTTCATTCAATTCACTAATTCCGTGGTCCGTTTGACCAATTAATATATTACAATTAATTAAAATTTTTAGTTGAGATAAAAAGTCAATGGCACGAGCGGGATTCGAACCCACGATCTTCGGCTAAATACACCGCTGCTCTTCCACTTGAGCTATCGTGAACTTGATCCACTCAGACACTAACTTCCCACCTCAACCCCTCCTTTTTGCCATTTTTCAAACGTTTTTTATTGCAACTAAAAACCTTAATTAATTGTAATATATTAATTGATCAAGTGAACCACGAAATTAGTGAATTTAATGATCTAAAATGAAGTATACTTCATTAAAGCTCTCCTTGGCCATTTCATTTGTCGTTGAGAATCCAATCCGATTACACGACATTTGAAAAATGGCAAAAAGGAGGGTAAATTCAAAAAGGTGGGGTTGCGGTGGGAAGTTAGTGTCTGAGTGGATCGAAGGCACGATAGCTCAAGTGGAAGAGCAGCGGTGTATTTAGCTGAAGATTGTGGGTTCGAATTTTGCTCGTGCCATTGACTTTTTTTATCTTAACTAAAAACCTTAATTAATTGAAATTGAAAAAATTAATAACGAGATACTTACCATTGTATTATTCATCAAAAAGCACTATGTGCGCAGACATTCCCTGAAGAAATTTGCTCAGCAGGTTCAAAGACTTTAGAAACGACAAAGCTACGCTAGCCCTTGGAAAAAAAAAAAAAAAAAAAAAAAAAAAAAAAAAAAAAGTAACAGAAATTAATTGTTTGCCCTTTAATATTGACATTGGCAGCTTTGAAATGTAGTTGCTGGATTTAAAAATAAAGAATTTTGGGGCTCAAAATTCAAGCGTCTTTAAACCGATTTACAGCTATTGGAGAAAAATAAATGTGAATGTGAATTAAGTTTACAGCACAAACAGTCTGCTTTGAAAGATCTGGCGAGGGAAGATATGTTGATTTTTAACACATGATGATGATTAACTGAAGAAACTAGCGTTTGCTGTTCTTTCCTTATTTCGGTTCACATATTTATGCAAACAATCATTTTCAAGCATGAATTTTATCAAGAGTAGTTTAAGAAATCGGAGAACTTGGAATCGTGCCTAAAATTAAAAACAACATACAAACCTGACTACCCATACTTTCCAGGGAAATGCTATTGTTCATATTAGTGGAGTATTTGTAGTTTTTTAAGGATACCTTTTATATTATTATTATCTTTATACAAGAATGATACCAAGTTTTATTTAATGTACTGTTAGTTAAACTAAGACATATTCAGCAAAGGAAAGCTCGAGAGTGTACTTTTGATTCTAATTATTTCCATAAAAATGTCTACTAAAGCAAAGCTTAAGTTTAAAAAATGGCTCTTCGAATAAACTTCAATTTTGTATTTTTCATTAATTTTGGCTCTTTTGGATGACGAGTTTGCTGACCACTGGGCTAGGAGGTTGGGATGATTTATATTGACTTCTTGCGAGATGTGTAGGTTTGTGAGGATAAGAAGTAGGGAGGTTGGACATTTGTTTGAAGGATTTTGGACAGGAGTAACTGGTTTCTTTAAAGGTCCAGATTGGAGAGGTGGTGTTTATTTTGCAGTGAGAGTTTCAATCTGTTGTCAAGTAGTTCATGCCGTCTGATCAAGTCTATTCTTTTAAGTTGAGTGTGCCGGTTCCAAATAAATCTTTGGTCAATATAAAGTCTAACATTGTGGACGATATTGGTTGTGGGGAGTGAAACAGAGCTACAGTAGATTAGAAAAGAGCTGATATGGAAAGGGTGAAGGTTATTTGCTGGGATTTGGTTGAGTGTGATATTCCATTTCTCAAACCATTCTTCTAAACTGAAGATCCTGGAAGTTTCTAAAGGCTATTGTTGGCCTGTGTTTGCTGAAAGTATAGTGGTATCATCTGCATATGTGAAAAGTACTGTAACGGGATGGATAGTAATATCTGCAGTGTACTGAATAGAGAATGGACTAAGGATGTTGCCTTGCAGAACAGCCACTTTGGCACAGTGGATAGGGGAGAAGGATGTTCCAATTCATACTTGAAAGTAACTTTAGGACAGATAGGTTATGAGGTGAAAGTAAATGGAAGGATGGCAAATTTTCTAGAGCAACCCAGGGGTTTGATTTGATCGAAGGTATGCCTCATGTCTAAAGCCTAGTATGCACTGAGATTCTTTGAATCGATTCATGTTGCGGGGCAAAGTCAGGGTTGCGTAGATTCACTGTTGCGATGCAGCCCCGACTCTGCTCCGCGACAAAGAACCGTGTCCAAACCAAGATTCAGTTCACATTCATCAGTGCCTGCGAAAATGACGGAGGAACTAGCTTTCTCAGGAATTTCCCCTGCTCTTTTTTGCATGCATAGTGAATCCACTCGGAGGTGCATTAAAAAACTCCCAAAATGATGGTGGGTTCGACAAATATTTCACGGCGGGAATCAGAACGGGAAAAATCTTTTGGACTCGTTGAGATTAAATGATGGCGCAGGGTTCAGGAATTTTTTGAGGATGTCCCCGACCGATTTCAAAACCATTGTAATGAAAGTTGGCGGTCAAATTTCCAAGAAAGATACCAACTTTTGGGAATCTATCTCTCCGGCCAACAGATTAGCTGCCACTCTCTGGTTCCTAGGAGTGGGGACTCGTACACAAGTCTCATGTACACCTTCAGGATTTCAAAACAAACGGAACTTTCCTTTTAAAGTATGTATTTTTTTAAATTTCGGCAACAGAAACACTGAATTCTTGGGCTAAACCGTTCAATGTTTGGCTTTTCAATTCCCGATTTCTGTATTCCGTGAATAATACATCCCACAAAACCGATGGGAATGCATGTCTTCGATAAACTGTAATGTCAACTTGGTACTCTACAACATTACACAAGATGTACATTACTTTATACAAGACGCGGCCAAAATCTTCAAGAAAACACTCACTACAATGACAAATAAACAAATGAAGCAAGAGCGCTTGTTCCGATTCACATCCGCACTGGCAAATGTTGCGCAACATTGAGTCAAAGAATCCCAGTGCGTACTAGGCCTAAGAAAGCCCAAAAGCAGCATTTCTCGCATTAAAGGGTGTATGATCATGTCTATCACTCTGTGACATTAATTATGTTTTCTAATTTTTTGAACCCTCAGGGATTTTTTTATTTTTTATTTAGTTGGTGAATCTGTGCATAGGACATTTTTTTCTTTCCTTAACCTCCTTAAGTTTTGGTTTGTCAGGCGCATTTTGGCTGGGCTATCTACAGTGGAATTATTTTACAATATCAAAAGTTAATTTCAATAAAATAATTAAAATTTGGACAAATCAGGCATAACTTGTGTAAAAATTCTTGATTGCCATTGATATTGTATAAGTCATTTAAAATCAATAAATATAATAAATTTAACAAAGAAGAATCTAAATTAGGCAAAATGAGAAATTATGTAATAAATTATTTTAAAATACCATGTGTCAATGATGATTCATATTTGTTCATTGCAAACCAATCTTCACCGTTGAATGTTACTTTAATTGACTTTTGCTCATGCTGAATGTATTTTTCAACCTGGTCATGCTCTAAAAATTCCCAGTCCATATTGACTGCTAAGTCTGAATACAATTCTTCTTGAGAAAAGTGGATATTGCGCCTTAAAGAAATAAAACAACAACTTAAAATAACTTCCAAAGTAGCATTATTAAAAATTACAGCATACATCTCTTTCGTCCATTTTAATGCCGGTGAGAAAAATTTACTGCGGATCCTACTGTGGCTGAAGGTTCTCTCAGTATTTCTGAGAAATGGGATACTCGGAAGACCTAAAAAAAATAAAATTGTTGGCGTTTAAGGTCAAATTTATTTTAAAATTAGAAGGAAATTACAATTATCCTTAACATCCTCTTCATTTGAATTTTCTTTTGACTTTTGCCTTGCAAGTGTAACATTGCCTAAATGAAGGTTTTTAATATGGGCTGTGATCTGAGGTTCATCTGGTGCTGAAAATTCACATTCTGTACACTGGAATGTCTGGAAATGAAAATAAAACAGTCTCGTACAAATCATTTTCTAATTTTTTTAATTTTTTACCTTGGCGTGAACAGAACAATTGCGAAAGTGTTTTTTCATTTCTTGCAAACGTTCTGCCTTGAAATCACAATTTGAACAAGGGCATGTAACAATTTCATCTTTTAGAAATGCCTGTCTCCACTGATTTGAAAAGTCTTTAGCACGTAATTTCACAGCGGTATAAAACTCACTCTAAGAAGAAAAAAAATTAATAACTTTTATTTTTTACTCTTATATTATAAATAAAAAGTACCAAATCATCATCGGGATTAAATTGTTCTTGAGAATCTTTATCCTTAGGTGCTGTATCAGATGTAAACAAAGAAATGTTTTTCAAGCATCTAAAATAAATAAAAATACATAAATCCGGACAATTAGTTAAAAACGAATGTTCAATAATTTACTTTTCTGCGGCTTTTCTTGATCCTGTAATTTCAATTTTCTCTTCAGATTTCTTGTTGTCCGGATGGTGGTTCAAGTAGACATGCGAATCCATGCTTGAAGGCATCAACATCCTGCCGCACTGCTCGCAGGTGACCATCATTTTTATTCTCTCCTGCAGAAAATGGAGTTTAGTACGCAGCCTTGTAAATACAAACAGTATAAATTACTTGTTCAGTTTTCCCGCAGAATTGACGATGACTTATAAATCCTCTTGCACTCTTCTTTACATTTTGGCAAACAGGACATTTGAAGATGATTTTCGGACTGTACAACTTGATACGGGTAAGAATCCTCTCCACTAGAATTTCATTCTCAATATCCTAAAAAAAAGAAGGCTTAAATGAAAAAAAAAAAAAATTATTGTCAGGTGTACTTTGGTTTATTCTGATCATTTTGGTCCCTGAGATGTGTTTTGGCTTCTTAATTTAAAAGACAACTAAAAATAATGCAAAAAATCTAGCCTTGAAAATGGCAGAAAAGCCAAAACATCTGACAGTGAAAACAATGAGGGATGCAGACTAAAATGCTCTGTACATCCAAAATAAAGGTTCATCACCCCACAAACCCAAATCTTTTTTTATGTATACATGTTGTACATATAAATATATGTTAAACTGATTACAATAGGGTCTTCATCTTTGAGCCAGCATAGATAGTTGTGTTTTGCCATGTGCACCTTCTGATAATTGATCACTGGCATTGATTCTTTGCAAATTTCGCACTGCACCTAGAACATCGGCATTTATACCAGCAGTTTCAAGTTTAAACAAGACAAAAAAAAATTACAATTTGGTTAGGATTTTTAATTTTTGAAAACAGATCAATCCGTGAGTATACAGTATGTGTCTCGTCCAAATTCGACTGGGAGTACCTTATCATCGACTTTCTCACCCGTCCTGATTTCTTCTCCTTCCTAACTGGTATCTCTTCTTTAATTTCAGCATTGCTATCAGCCTTATTCATTTCATCCGTAGTTTGGTTGAGCTGTTTTCTCTTTTTCGGTATTTCATCATCAGATACAACGTGCGGATATTCTTTCTTATTCGTATCATTTTCATCTTTTTGCCTATTTGAATTTTCTGAAGCCTTGGATACTTTTTTAGGTCTTCCTCTTTGTTTTTTAGCTCTTGGCTCGTTGATATCAAGTGAAGGAGCTTTCATTTTTTCAGAATCAGGTTCGACGTCTTCTATGTTGTTTTCTTCTTCCAAATTTTTCGGTATCTCCGACTGCGCATTAGTGCTTCGTCTTTTTTCAATGATTTGTGTTGTGTCTTCTGAATTGTCATTTTTGAGAGTGTTATTTCTTCTTGGTTTTTTAGTTTTGTCAATTTGTTTGTCAGCATCGCCCAGAATCCTTGAACTCTTCCTTAGCCTTCCTACAGTAGGAACCGGTGTATCTTTTGCAATGGTACTACCTGGATTAGTAGTTTGCTGTTCTGACTTCCTAGGCCTGCCTCTTTTCTTTGGGACAGTTTCTTCTTTTACAGTTACATTCTCTGCCTCAACTTGAGACTGTTCTGTCATCCTTCTCTTCCTTTGACCTTCTGGAGGCTGGGAGTCAGCCTGTTCATTTTCTTTCCCTCTGGTTGAAATTTGCGAGGGGACTCTTTTGCAGTTTTTATCCACAAAAGTGTTTTTTTCTTCGAGTTTGTCGGCCTTTGAAGAATCAGCATCCTGATTCTGCTCTGTGTCAACTTGGCTTGTTTCCTTGCCGGCGGTTTTACTTGGTCTTCCTCTTCTCTTTTTGGCGAGCATCTTCTGTTAGTAAAACTTGTGATTGTGAGCTCTCGTGACGGGTAGGTTACGGCATGGTTTCTTCATGGTAAAAGACTAAAAGCTTGAACCTCCAAAAGTCCGAAGTCTGCTCTGGTGGAAGTCCCACAAATCTAATTACAACTGAACGTCATCAATGGAAATTAAAATAAAAACAAAATTTAATTTAAAAAAGCAAAGATTTTACTCTTTTAAAAGAGTGACTTGTATTGTTAGCTTTAGTTTACATTTTTCCTAGTCTTATTGCATTATTACAAACATGATTTTTTATGTGCATGCAACACACATTGGGTTTTTATTTTTTGTTTTATTTTATTGGTACAAACAGGGATTAAAGCTGCCTTATGCATGAGTGTAAAAATGAATGAAGAAAGAGCTTTTTTTACAAAAATAGAATACAATATAATAAATACAGGGTCGTCTGAGAGGCTTTTGCGTGTCAAGAGCATGATTCATAGATGGCCCCCTGAGAACTTGAGCCGGAAACAAGGAATTAAGAATAGGCCATACACGGTTGACACACGGGCACTTGCTCTTGGGCCAAAACCCGCGCAGGTGCCCCTTATGCAGAGAAAGGTTGCTCGATGTGTCCCACATACTGGAAACATGTCATGCCTTGGCTCCTTACAGGGAGCGAGTAGGCATGCCAGCCAACCTGAAAGTTGTACTCGAGCACTGCAGCAGGTTTCTGGATCCCCTGTTCCGCTTTTTGCGGGAAATCGTTTTTTTTTAAATTGTATATAGTGTCTTATGTGTCCATATTTTTTGTGTGAGTGCATGTATTTATTAACGTGAATGGCGAGGGATGAGGGAGATATATAACATCATCATCACCCCTCGAACGTTGAGAGCGTATAAGTGTGTGTTCAGGTCGATGGCGGAATATTTATAAAAGTACTCCATCGACCCCAATCTAGATTAGTTTGAGTATAGGTTGGTGGAGGAATATCAAGTACTCCCCTGACCAAACGGAATGAGTGTACTGTATGGATGTATTTATGTGTAAGAATATATTTATTAAAANTATCCTTTAGTAAAGTTATTAGCTTAACAACATGTGGTTTTGAAGAAAGAACTTTATTTGCATAAGAAAATACAACATAATAATAAATAAAAAGTTCTTAATACAGCATTGGTTGTAAAACCATCTACAAACCAACAAAGTAGTGACCAGGGAATTCGCTTGAAATCAAGAATATACATACAAAACGCCAAAATAAAACTAAGATAACACAGAAAAATTAAAAAATGAATCTTGGTGACTACAATACACAGAACGAAAACACTCATAATACTCCTCAATATAAAACTAAAATAATATAATAAAAGCACATTTGTTTTAATCCAATAATCAATTAACATATTAATTTTTATCCTAAGTTAAAAATCTGAGTGTTATTTTTAACTCCAAGCTTACATGACCATGTGAGCTGTCTTATTAGAAAGTTTTACTGAAGACTCCCTTCTCTTCGATGCCTTAGCTCTTTCACTCCATAGAAAACGGGTTCTCTTTATTAAATCCCTTTATTCTCTCACTGTTTTTTCACTTTTCTTAGACTGTCAATTTATTAATTACCTTCAATTTGTTTATCATTCCAGCATTGGGTACCGTTATCTTAAACCAAGGGATCATATTTCATCCTGTAATGTGTTCACCAACCTTTATATTCTAAACGTTTACAAACTTAGAGACTTAATACATTTAAAATTAAATGAAATCAATATCTATCAACTATTTTCCATAATTCATTTTCCAAATGCACCAATCATATCCCTAGCCTTCAACACTCCTCTAAACTTTTATCCTTCAGAATTGCAAGGAAAATACTATGTAATTTGTTTCCCTGGGAAGTAAGTCCTGCTTCATCGCTGGCTTGTTTCAGGTCCTTGGCATCGGAGTTTTTAAAAATGACATGAATCATCTCCTTTTCTTTTCCCCATGTCCTTTTTTTATTTTTCTGCTTTTCTTTCATAATGTGGTTTATCATCAGTTTGTACATTGTATTATATGTTTTATCATTATTATTATTGCTGTTATTATTATTTTTCTATGCTTATAAAACAATAAATAAAAAAATAGGTTAAGCTTATTTTGAATAAAAATATATGTAAGGGGGCTTAAAGCCCTATTTGTTCGTTTAAAATGAATGAAATAAATAATATACAATTAAATTACAACTAATGAATAAGTACCATTACGGCATGGAAAATTCCATCTGCTGGAGGTGAATGAAAACATAAACAGGGCGACAAAAGTGCAAAATAATACAAAATGTGAATTAAAAAAAGACTTCTAAAGAACTTAAATTATAGAAAAAACAACAACTAAAAATGTGAATAAATAAAGTAGGAATAAAAAAGGAAACAAATTGAAATTAATGAATAAACACTAAATTTTCATTGACATAAAAATGTCTGTATTGCCATACGTGTCTACAAAATCCTACAAGTGAAGTTGGCTCATAGTTTAACTTGGAAAGGGCACCACAGCCTAGGTAGAGATGTGGATTTCATTTAAGGTTGTACATTGTGCAATGAAATGGGACAGATCCTCTCTGTCCTTAGAGATACATAAAATGCACAATGCAGAAGGTCCCTCTACCCAAGGGGTGTAATTTAGCCAATAAAATTAAAATAAATTATCAATTAAATTTTCCACGTACTCTCTGTGGTACAGAGATCTGCAGTTTGGAGAGTTGGGTTTTTCGATGAGAACAGCTCTTGAAACTCTGTTAGTACACAAAAAAAGAATCCGGAATTAAGCAGGGATGTAACACTCAACTGGAAAATGGAAAAAAAAGGCTTTCCATTGTGGAGAAGTTACACGGTGAACAGAGATAAATAAAATTATATCTCAAAGGGGAGAAAAAAACAAGACCTTTATCGTACAGTCCCATGTTAACGCCTTACTGTTGAAGCTAACCCCCCCCCCAAAAAAAAGGTCTATTATATCATGAAGTGGTAATGTTAGAAAAAGAAAAGGACTTTCATACAAATTTTATATCAAAATAAATTCTCAACATTTTTACATAACTTTTTGTTAGTAAACAGCGTTCTTTTTGGAAAGAAAATAAAATATGTAATACAAAAGAAAGTTTTTTTTTCTTAACAAAAAAACAAGGAACATTAAAAACTAAAATGTAATTAACTTAAGACTAAATTCTCTAGTTGTCATCTAGTTTAAAACAAATGAAACGCTTCAGTCTTGTGAATTTCACCATTCTAACTTTGAAGATTCAATGATGAACAGTTTTGTAATGCATTTTATATCACTTTTTCAGTCGCATTCTGCATTTTGAATTAATTGATTTAAACTTTCATTGTCCGAACTATCGCCGATGAGATGATCAATGTCGAAAATGTCGGTGAAACTTTTCTGTTCCAGTTCTATTTCTGCAGCGTAATGTCTTAGAAGTTCAGATATCTTATTGGAATCGTTGAACGCTTGAGAAGGCTCTTCTTGTGATGTACTAGGCTGGAGAGCTTTTTCCCCTTGCTGCTGGCATTTGAGGCTCAGTATTTTATTTAAGAGTACATTGTTATTGACATTCTGGATTCTTTCTCGGCCCTCTATTCTGTTTTCTGCTGCGGTATCATTCATATTCCTTACCGTACAGATTGAATTAGTGAGCCTTAACAGTGCCTGTGATTGATTGAAGCTTTTTTTATAAATTGTCCTCAATTTGTAAGAATGGCGTTCCCTTTGGACGACTTTTTTAGCGACTTCTAAAGGAGGAACATTCACGGTCCAACTTTCATCATTAACGGAAACTTTAACCGGGATCAAATCAGAGATATTTTCTTGCATTATTTTATTTCCAAGGTGTTGAAGCATTGACTCTGTTTCAAAAGGATCATCTTCATAGATTTTATTTGGACGATTGTTACCGACTTCTGGTTCTTCATCTAATGATAGATCATGTTCTGATATTGGATTTTTTGAAGACTTATAATTGTAAGTCCTCTTTATGAGTATTTTCGAACGACCAGTATTCCATTTTGTAGTGTGAGGTCTATTTTTGTTTTGTTGCATTTCTGCAGGTGGAGGGATGTTCAGGATGTCAGAAAGATCTGGGCCGATATCAACTGTATCATCGTTGAGATATAAATTCGGTTGGAAAAATTTATTTTCCAATCTTTGCAAATCAGTATTCAGATGTGATCCATTGCTTTCAAATCGGGTGTCTATTTTTATAGTGTTAATTTTTGGTTCTAGATCGATCAAATCGATATCTTTCGTACTCTCATCAGTCTCAGGTACAACTGCTGGCCATATTGGGGTGATTTGTTTTTTAATTCTTGGTGATTTGTACTGCTTTTGACATTTAGGAGTGCCATCTCTTGTAAAAGAAGTTATTAACTATAACAGAAATATTTATAAGATTAAATAAGAGGGATAAATTACCAATAAAAATTTAAAATCAATCAAAGATGCCACAAGAAACTACCTACAGCTTCGATTATTGTTGCAAAAAATTAATAATTTATTATTAACTTAATCGTACTTTATAATAAAGCATTCTAATTCAATATGTACCAGGCAATCAGAAAAGTTTATAGGGTTTAATAATTGCCACAATTAAAATTAGTTTAGAAATATTTTATCTGGTGAAATAATCTCCATCACATCCTATGAGTTACTAGCCCATTTATGCACATCTTATAAAACTAAAAAAATAAATTCAGCAGTTGATGATTATTGAACTCCAGACTGCACTGTCTGATTGTCTATTGCTAAGAAAAGGTGGAAGATAGATGGGGCTGGGTCTGGAAAGTATGATGGGTGAACTACTTACACTTTTCGAAAAATATTTAGGGTACTTCTGTGATCTGATTAATAAATTTTTATGTCAAAATGTCCAGAAAGGATTAAATTTTTAGATACTTGTGCCTTTATATATTAACAAAAAATTTCAATAACTGGAAAAAAAATGACTTACCATATCCTCTTCATCATCTACACGACTTAAATCCCTTAAAAAATAAAATAAACAATTAAAACAAAAAAAATAAATATGTTTTTCATAACAAAAACATACTTCGCAAGCTGAGTAGGTTTATTCTGCACTCTCTGTTTTATAGCAGCACACCTCTGCCTGGTTCTAGATGAAGTGGGAACTTCAATATTTGCACTCCTTGAATAATAAATAAAAAATTAAAAGGCAAAAATGAATTTAAAACTAAATCTTACTCGATAGTTTCTGAAGATCCAATCTGTTCTTCGTCCTCATTTGTTTGGCTTTCGTCACATTCATTTTCTGAACAAGTAGACTGGTGGTCGTGCAAGGTCGTTGACTGTATGTGGCTGTTACAGAACCGACATATAGAATACATGCTTTCATCGGACGCCTTAAAAAAATAATAAGTAGTCAATGTAACGAACGTTATTTCTGATCTTTCAGTGAATCAGTATGTTCACCAAATGCTCAGAAATAAAATCATTTGCCTATTCTTTCATCTACTCCCCCTATTTACGCTGAAAAACTTTACAATGTTCAGGATTGTGAGATTTCTCTGTGCAGTTTGCTGAAGTCAAAAGTGAAGTGTGAAGGAGAAATGCCGAAACCAATCCAGCAAAGGTAGATAAAAATGATCGGTACTGATCAAATTACAACATTCAGGAAAAAATTACTGCAAGGAATAACTGGGATCAACAACACAAAACTAGATTTAATGAAGGCAAACAATGTTGATATACTCTTGCCATCTTTCATGGACCTATAAAAGTGTAGATATCTAATTAAAGAAATCACAAAGAGTCACAACTGAAGATGGCGAGAAGCTGAAACACCATTACATATCTTCATCTAGGGAAAAGCTAGAGCTACGATTTGCAGGCTGATGCTGGGACAGGTTCAATATCCTACATAAAAATGAGTAATTAAAACTTTGGGAAGAACTACAGGCCTGTTGACGCAATGATACCAAAATTCAGATTTGATAAGCAATCTCAAAATCAAATATGATGAAGTATACTGGTAGAAATGGACCTAGTTAATGCTGACCTATCTGGTATACAGATGGCCCTAAGATAGAGCATGTCGGTTCTCTTTGGATAATTCTGCAGCGTGGTCTGAAATGTTTTCCAATCTGGTTCATATTATGGGGGCACGTCATCGGGAGAGTTGTATTTCTCGTGCCGTCGATTCAAATAGATTCTAACTTTACAAGGCGTTGAATCACTCCCTAACTCCTTGCAATGTTTTTTCTTCTCCAGCAAATGATGTTCCGTTCTCTTTTTTCGCTGGTGGTTTAAAATTCGAGGGGAGTTGTTCCTGAATTTCAGGCCTTGGGTTGGGGGTACTCCTGCCACTGAAGTGTGCTCTCTATGCAACTCAGGTGATCGTGAGGATGCATTTCATTTTCTCGCTAGATGCTCGGTCCTTAACGAATTGAGGTATCTGTATGTGGGTAAGGGTTTTCTGACGAGGGAAGAGCTTATAGCCCTTCTGAACGGCTCGGATTGCTGGGATTTTGCTCGGAAAGCCTGGTTTTACAGATGTGAATATATTGGAATGTAGGGAATTAATTTTCTGTTCAACTTATTTTGTTTCCTTTTTTGCTCTCGCAGGTAGTACATATAATTTCCATTTTGTGGGCTTCTCAATGCGAATTCTGTTTGCTGGTGGGGGACCCTTTGTGAGATGGAATCCTTGTTTTGGTTAATTGAAGTGTCATTTTTATTATTTTCAAAGTTTAGCCCATTTCAATCTTGTAATTTGAAAATCCTGTAAATAATTGTAACCTCTGACGTTGATATTGTAAATTATCTTTTTCTTATAATTACATAATTATGTATATTCTTGGAATAGTAATGCACTCCGAATTCTGGCAGACGGTCTTAATACCATGCCATAATAATAGAAGATCCCAAAAGACCTAAACTCCATCAACAAATGGGACCATAAAAATTCCCTAGTCCTCAATCCGTCCAAATCCGCCATAATTATCGGGTCCAGGCAACTCCTCAATTCCCTCCCCAGCATCCCACCTCTCATGCTAAATAACCACCCCATCCCATTCTGCTCTTTGGTTAAAAACCTTTCTAGTCTTTGACCAAAACCTTTCCTGGCATTCTCACATTTTCCAAAATTTCCCGTCATTCCATTGCCTTCCTCAGCATATTTCGTCGTTCCTGGTTTCACTTACCTTTCTTCAATCGCACAAACTCCTTCCCTTATACTTCCCTCTTCGATTATAGCTGTTTGGCATATGGTGGTCTCTTGGAGGGGGAGAATGCGCGATTAAAGCGTATTATGAATTGTTGCGTAAGATTTGTGTACGTCGCCCCACGGGGATCCCAGGTGTCGGGGTTGTATTCCCAACTTTCCTGGCTATTCCCCTCCTTCCCTGCACAGTATTTCCTAGGTTGCTTTCTTTTCCAGTCCATCCCACACTCGTCGTCCTCCTTACATCACCCAATCCCTCCAATTCAACTCCTCACATCTCACTCGTTACACCCGCTCATCTCCAATCGACCTAATCCTTCCGCAACATACAACCCATACCTTCGAAAGATCCTTTTTGACCGAGCCACTAAACTCTGGAACTCCCTTCCCCTTTCTATTCGACATTCTGCCTCCTTTCCCTCCTTTAAATCCCACCCGTATAATCACCTCCTCTCCCTCCAAGTAGAGACCTCACGTTAACATTTGTTATTTTTGTTTAATATTCTCGTAATTTTCTTTTATGGCCTGCCTTGTGCCAAGATTTCTATCTTTTTTTTTCACTTTTAACTTCATAGAAGGAACTTCCTTTATTTATTTCATGTAAATTATTCTTAGGATTAATTAGTCCCAAAATAATGTTATTTTTCTTCTTCTTCTTAAAGATAATAATACTGCGTTTTTTATTTTTAACTCTAAATTTCTTTCATTTTGTAAATAAAGTATACCTATTTATCTACAGCTTGAGTCAGGAGTTGGTGGCTATGTAAATAAATCAAGAACTAAAATTCATATAAACCTTGAGCAATATCCCGCTGTATTTCAGGCAGAAACTGTTGCCTGGGAGATCAAAATGCTAGGTATTTCCAACAAAAAAAATAGCCATCCGCTTGGACAACCAGGTAGCTCTGAAGGCAACTACTTATTGGTGCTGAAGTCCAAGCTGTTTGGGATTGCACCAAGGCTGGGTCAGACATTGGAAACAATAAAAAAAATTACTTTGTGTATAATGAGGTAACTTTGTTCACTGAGGACCTAAATCTTTTTGAAACATACCAATTTGACAAAATAGTACCTATCAGACAATGGGTTAAAACTAAGTAATTTTAAGTTAAGTTTATTGGGAATCTTAGAACAACCCCTTAATTTGGAACATTTATTCAATTAAAATGGCTCCAGCACTTTGAGGGAGATATTCCGGTGCACAAGAGAAGAGAGATGTGTATAATATTTTTAGTAAAAATTTGAAAATTGAAATTGCCTTACCTGATCGTCATAATAAATTGCTTGAACTTGATTCCTTTAAAACATAAAAATGCAGTATTAAAATTTATCTTTTAATATTATAAACAAAACTGGAAGTGCAACTTTTTAAAAGTTGCAAATTAACCTTACTTGTGAGTTTTTGATGATTCCATTTTTTTTTCTTTCTCATCTGTTTGATTTTGATCACATTCTTTTTCTGGGCAATTAAATTTGTGGTCCTGCAAGCTGGTAGATTTCAAGCAGCCATTACAAAATTGACAAGTTGAATATATGTCTTTGTTAGACACCTTCACAGAAAGTTAATTATTGATATAAATTTTTTGTAATAGTAAACGACAAAAAATGTTCTAATTACCTGACAAAACCGATAGTGTCTTTTTAGATTGTCAACAATGCTGGTTTGATATTGACATTCCTTTGTTGGACAATTGATAATTCCATCACTTTTGAGAATTCTGTGCCATTCTTCTATTTGAGAGTGTGAGATTTTGTTGGTAGGCGAGTGTGCATTTGTTCCTGGGGGATGGCACATATTGATGTGATCATTCAAATCTTTATATTCTGTCATCCTTCCATTGCAAACATTACACGTAAAAAATGACTTGGGCTTGTTGAAAAGCTGAATAGAAAATTTTGATTAAGCGTAATCCTTCGACGTGGCTCGGCCATGCTTACCTGAAGACATTTTCCAAAGTGTTTTTCCATTTTGACTACATCTTCAGTGAGGAAGTTGCAGAACGGTTCAACACATTTTATATAGCCTTTGTATTCTAATTGGACCAACCAACTTTCTTTTGTAGCTTTTGACGGTTTGCAATTTGAAGGCTCAGGTATAATATAAGTCCTTTAGGAAATAAACTGTTAAACAAAAAATTATTTAAGAAAATAAAAAACCTACTTGAATCCGATTTTTTCTGCTTCTACTGGATGAACGCTGACCATATGATTTTGAAGCTTGTCGTCATTACTCGTACCCCTTTGGCAAATTTTGCACATTGAGAGTCTATTTTGAAAGCTAGTAGACTAAAGAAATATATAAAAATCAGCGAGTTTGTAATTTTTAAAAATAAATTCTGCTAATTAAAACTTACTTCAAAGCATGAGCTAAAATGAAGCATCATCTCTTGAATACTGACAGCCATAAAAAGACATTTTGGTGTTTTGCAAAGTATGAAGCCATCTCTGTTGAGAAAATGGGTCCAGGCAAGCACTCGCATTTTTGAGTAGCCATTCCTCCTCACGACGGCCTCTCTGACTAGATTTTTCTCCTGCTTTAAGAGAAAAAGTTGTACTGATGCTTAAAACATCAATAATTTTCAAATAACGCAAGGAATATTTTAAGATTTTTTTTTAGTTTTAAAAAACTGCTAACACCATCCTGGTTGGGATATATTTTCAAGAACATTTTATAGTTTTGGCAGTGAGGGAAATAATGCTGGCTGGTGCTGGGAAAATATATAAAATCTAAAAGATAAATAATTGTAAAAATCTTGAAATTTTTAAAGCTAAAGTTCAAGGAGGAAAGAAAAGACCAGCTAAAATTGTGCATGAGTGAAATCATAGCAGAAAAAAATAAAAATAAAAAGGAGAATTATGTATAGAATGTTGGTTATTTATTTTTTTTAACTAAACACACCAGTTTTGTGTAAAATAGCATGTTTAGTTCAAAAAAATTAGTAACATTCTAAATTTAAAATATTTATACCATCAAATTAAGTTAAAATTATTTAAAAAAAAAAAGTAAAATTATGGGCATTTTGGTTAGAGTTAATACAGTATTTGTTAAAGAAAACTTACCCCTTTGTTTGAAATTTCATTTGTGTTGTCCTCTGATTGATTTGAATCTCTTCAAATAAAGAATAGATAAATAATAATAATAATAAAATCAGTAAAATCTTTATTATTAAAAAAAAAAAACTTACTGGTTGTTTGAATCATTAGATTCCTTCATTGGGCTTCCTTTTCTTCTTTTACTTCTACGTATTGTACTAATTGAGGTTGTTTTGTTCTGTGAGCTTTTTGGGAAGCCATTTTCACATGAGAACTCAGCTTCAGGACGATTTTTGCATAACATTTTTTCGACTCTTTCAGATGAGACAACTGGATTGTTATTTATTGAAGACTTGCTTTAAAAGAAAACCAAATAAAAATTTATATTTTAGGTCCTTTTGGATTTGAACAAACATACTCTAAATATCCAATAGGGTTTGAACAGGTTAAAATTTTATCCCGCTTTTTTTCTGTACAAATTGAAACATGAGCTTTCAACTTGTTTGGGCTTAGCCAGCCTAAGCAATAAGAACAAACAGAATATAGATGACTTTGTGGCACCTGAAAGGTGAAATTTTGTAAATAATGTAACCTACAGGATGTTAAAACAAGCAAGTATACCCTGCAGAAACGATAGTGTCGTTTAAGATCGTCAACATTATCAGTTATGTATCTACAGTCTTTGGTCAAACAGTTAATAAATTTTTCCGTTAAGAGCTTCTTGGTCCAAGATTCAGCCAGGTCGAGGGAGATCACATTGGTTGGTGTATTAACGCTGGCACCGACTGGATGGTAATATGTGATGTGGCGTTCCATCTCTTGGCTGACCGCCGTCCTTCCACTGCACGTTGTACATGTGTAAAACAGCTGGCCAGGAACAGCTGAGTTGCAAAACTAATTGTACAAAGTTAGGGACACTGTCGTGAGTATTTAAGTCGCAGGTATTAAGTACCTTATGGCAGTTCCCGTAGTGCTTTTCCATCACTGATATGTATTCAGTGAGGAATAGGCAATAGGGATAAGGGCATTTGATGTATCCTTTGTGCTCTAAGAGGACCTTCCAACTTTCTCTTGTGATTTTTGGTATTTTGATTACTTCTGAGGGTAGAGGAACTGTGTAATCTCTAAAAATAAAACAAAAATGTCTTACAAATTTATCTCTTCATTTTTATCTACACAAATTCTACCCACAGAACAAAAAATAAATAAATAAAAAATGAAACAAATGTAAATTTTTTTTATGCTGATGTTCATTAACATACATAGTAATACATTTGATCATATGCTGAAATTCATAAATTATTTATCATTGTAATTTAATTTCATTCTTGCAGTTTTAAAATTCAATCTATCCACGATTATTAAAGATGAAAAATCGCGTAAACTGAACAAACTGAATAAAAAGTCAAAGACCTAAGTTTACAACTGATAAAGAGAATGTATTTAATAAAGCAAAAAAAATTTTTTTTTTTTACAATTATAAGATACTATGCAGTAACTTATTTGTTTATTGAAGACTCATAAAATATATATAAAGTGTGATAAACCTGTAATTCAGTCATTACTGATCGTCCTTGTCTGCCTATCCTCGCTGGGTTGGTCTGATAGACAAGTATGACCAAGATGACCAGGCAGACCAAGATGATCGGTAACGACCGAATTAGACATATAAAGCTGTAGAGTATACAGATTACCATATTTTTTTTAAATAATCCTCTAAACTAGTTTTAATTTAAACTAAAAATTATTAATAACAAGTGAAAAGAAAAATTCATCGCACTCTCACCTTATTCCTAATTCTCGAGCCTCTGTCGGATGAGCCTTGATCATATGATTGTTCAATTTGGTCTGACAACTAGCCCCTTTTTGACAGACCGTACAAACAGACATGACACTTAAAGCACTTTCTGTAAACTAAGTAGACACAAAAAAAGTTAATGATTGTTTCATCAGCAATCATAATCAATCAATAAATTCACAGAAGTAACCCTCAACAGAGTATTAAAGTTGTACGCCAAATACTCCAGAAGAACTGAAGGAATAAATTCTAAAATCATCTTACAGTAATAACTTTCAATAAAGTTACCAGTTGGCCAAAAATAGAACAACAAAACGCAGAGGAAAAAAGTCCAAAGATTAGCATGCATTAGCAATGTGCTAATAAAACAACACCCACAGCCACAATATACTCTCAGGCTGCTACTCTTGCTCATTGTGAAAAGGTTGGCAGCAATCACTATGAAATTATCTGGCAATGAAAAAAAAAAAAAAAAAAATCTAACAAGTAACCATACCAAAATCTTTGACTTATGTTTGAGTAACTGACATTTATGATTTTTCTTTCTAGAAGGTGGGATAATAGGTCATCTCAAAAAAACAACAACCAGTTTTTCTTTCAATCCACAATGTTTTGGATTTATTTTAATCCTTCCTCAGGTGAGTTAATGCAATGGTTAAAACAGTGGTCGTCAGTCAATAACATTTTGTAACAGTTTATTTTTAAAAAAAGAGCCAATGTGGTACATATTTAAGACTTTCAGATTCTGAACAAACATTTTAATATTTTGAACCTGACTGTCAGTTCAAAATATTTCAGTCACGTTCAAAATATTAAAATGTTTGTTTGGAGTCTGAAAGACTTAAATATGTACCACACTGGCTCTTTTTTTAAAATAAACTGTTACAAAATAGTTTTAACCATTGCGTTAATTCACCTGAGGAAGGATTAAAATAAATCCGAAACGTTGTGGATTGAAAGAAAAATTGGTTATTGTTTTTTTGAGATGACCTATTATCCCACCTTCGAGAAGGAAAAATCATAAGTTAAACTGTTGAGGTCAAAATATAAGAACATCATAACTGACATTGTTAAAATTATCTCTGTTTATTATATAAAAATCTACACTTTGAAAAAAACATAATTATCAAAAAGAGAGCTGATCGGAATGGTAAAACAAAGGGAGATAAACCTGGAGCTCTTCTAAGGACAGATGGCTCAAAGATGGGAAATGGGATATGGGCATAAAGGGGATTAACTATGAGCACCAAATACACTTTCAGCCCCACCGCGACCATCTTTCAAGCTGAACCATTAGCCAGAAAACATTGGCTGTACAACAATAATAACACTATTGTACTTTAAGGCAGCTCTAAGGGTTCTCTAAGCCTACAAGTTCAACCTAAAATTGTTTGGAACTGCCTAAACGTCCTAAAAATCTACAAATAGCCTAATGATTTTATCAGTCCCAGGTATGAGAGAAATGAGATAATTTTCAGGCAATGAGGCAGCAGATATACTTGCAAAAAGGGAGCCTTGGAACAAAACACAAGCCAAAATCCATTCTGTGACATAAACCACAGCCACATTAGAAAAGAACTGGAATTTTGGGTTTCTAAAAAACACACAAAAAAAAATACTTGAAGTGCAAACCAGGCATGATGCAGACAAAAGACACCAAAAACTAACCCACTAGGACAAAGAGAAAATCCTGCTCAACAGAAAGGAATTAAAAACTCAAACTTCTACATTTACAGGGCATTGTCCACCTTAGAAAATGGGACGACATCTAGACATATTTTGTGCAATTGCCCTGATATGGGTAGGAATGTATGAGGGAAAATTGTTCTTGAGGTAGTCCTTGATCCTCTGAGAATTCTTTGGTCCATAAAATAAACGAAAAAGGTCTTTGAGAAAATGGGTTAGCAGAGATCGGCATAATAGACTAAAGTTTAATTGCTAAAGAGAAAAATCTTCAACTCCATACGGTGAAAAAATTCACAGGACTAAGAATTGGGTGCATTTACGCATTCTCAAGAAAATGTAATAAATAAATACAAAGCAAGAACAAAATATGGTTTACAAACATTCATTGATCTGAACCGAAAAATGTGAGACAAATACCCTGAAGACTGACAAAAGTCTAGTCTGTTAGCTTTCAAATCCAAAAAGTAAATTGCATGCTCTGATGACTGATGACAGTCCAGTTCTGCTTGGATTCGAACTCAAAAATGTATTCGAATACCCTAAAGTATAATAAAAGTCTAGTTCTGATTGCATTGCATCCAAAAATGTTAGTTGGATGCATAAAAGACTGACAGAAGTCCAGTTTTTCTTGCATTTGAACCCAAAAATGTCATTAGAATATCCTGGAGTCTAAAAAAAATCTAGTTCTCTTTGCATTGAACCCAAAAACGTGAGTAAACGTGTTTGCTCTAAACACTGACAAAAGTCCAGTTCTGCTAGCATAAAAAAAAAAAAAATTGAGTCAGATGCTCTGAAATCTAACGAAAGTCCAGTTCTACTTTCATTCATACCCAAAAACGTCTGTTGCATGCCCTGAAGTCTAACTAATGCCAGTTCTGCTTCATTTGAACCCAAAAACGTGAGTTGGATACCCCAAAGATTGACAAAAGTCGTGTTCTGTTTGCAGTGAACCCAAAAATGTGAGTCGAATATCCTGAAATATAACAAAGTCCAGTTCTGCTTGCATTTGAACCCAAAAACGTGAGTTGGATACCCCAAAGACTGACAAAAGTCCAGTTCTACTTTCATTCATACCCAAAAACATCAGTTGCATGCCCTGAAGTCTCTAACTAATGCCAGTTCTGCTTGCATTTGAACCCAAAAACGTGAGTTCGATACCCTAAAGACTGATGAAAGTCCAGTTCTGCTTGCAATCGAAACCAAAAAATGTGAGTTGAATATCCTGAAGTTTAACAAAGTCTAGTTCTGCTTGCATTCGAACCCAAAATGTTTTTCGAATGCCCTGAAGTCTAACAAACGCCCAGTTCTGCTTGCATTTGAACCCAAAAATATGAGTCGGATGCTCTGAAGTCTAACGGAAGGCCAGTTCTGCTTGCATTTGAACCCAAAAACGTGAGTTCGATACCCTAAAGACTGACGAAAGTCCAGTTCTGCTTGCAATCGAAACCAAAAAATGTGAGTTGAATATCCTGAAGTTTAACAAAGTCTAGTTCTGCTTGCATTCGAACCCAAAATGTTTTTCGAATGCCCTGAAGTCTAACAAACGCCCAGTTCTGCTTGCATTTGAACCCAAAAATATGAGTCGGATGCTCTGAAGTCTAACGGAAGTCCAGTTCTGCTTGCATTTGAACCCAAAAACGTGAGTTCGATACCCTAAAGACTGACGAAAGTCCAGTTCTGCTTGCATTCGAAACCAAAAAATGTGAGTTGAATATCCTGAAGTTTAACAAAGTCTAGTTCTGCTTGCATTCGAACCCAAAATGTTTTTCGAATGCCCTGAAGTCTAACAAACGCCCAGTTCTGCTTGCATTTGAACCCAAAAATATGAGTCGGATGCTCTGAAGTCTAACGGAAGTCCAGTTCTGCTTGCATTTGGACTCAAAATTTTATTTGAATTCCCTGAAGTCTAACAAACGCCCAGTTCTGCTTGCATTTGAACCCAAAAACTTGAGTCGGATGCTCTGAAGTCTAACGAAAGTCAGTTCTGCTTGCATTCGAACCCAAAAATATGAGTCGGATGCCCAAAAGACTGATGAAATGGCTTATCATCATAATAATAACCAATAATATCTGTTAGTTTGTTTGATTCATGATGGTTACAAGCTTTCCATTACACAACATGATAGGCCAACTGCAAATGACATGTTGATGCTTACCGAGAAGCATGTGCTGAAGTGCAATGCCATCTCCTGGATGTCAAAGGCCATGAAAGGACATTTTGGTGTGCCGCAGAAAACAACACAGTCCCTTTCGAGGTCAAAGGTCCATGCCAGCACTCGCAATTTCGTGTAAGCCTTCTTCCGCACTCCATCAACGTTTATAGCCATTCTCACCTTGTACAAACAAAACCAATTTGAACATGAATCACCAATGATATCAAATTTGTCTAACCTTTGTTTATGTTGTGTTTGATACTGTGAAAATACTAACGTGTGATGAAGTAAGGATGAAATTGCATTAAGAGGTACAGCAGATCTGATGATATGACAAACCAAATAAATCATATAATATCAATCTTCGTGTATAGGAGAGTTATAACTTTTGAAACAAGGTTCTAAAGTATAACAAAAGTGTAACATCAAAGAACTTCACCTGTAACCTCCATAAACCGACTGTAAGAAGTGTAAACTTCAAAAATCACGACTAACTGTCAAAGTTCTGCTTGATGGCAAATGATTTTGATTTATACGATGAATACAGAAATAAACACTCGCTGGGCATGGAACTTCTTGAATCGATCCAAGGGCTGAAGAACGAAATTAAAGGATTAGACAAACTCGAGTCTAAAGTAAAGCAAGAGTTGAATTTTTTGGTTAAGGTAAAATAATTTTTAATCAACCCAGATATTGTTTTTTTTGGTAATGAAGTTAAAATAAAACGAAAACCTGAAAAACTATTTATTATTCAACATAATGATAGTCCATACTATAATAAACAAATCCATGGACATAGTGGTCATCATGTTGATCTTTAAGTCACACAACACTATTAAAAATACTCTTGCTTAAAGAAATGGTATAAAAAAATACTATTGTGGTACAACCACGTAGGATATATTGCAAAATTTGGGGGACCGCAGCTGAGTGGCTTGTTTGACTTGTAATTGCCATGATAGTGGTTCTCGGTTTGAATCCCTGCCCAGCCTATTGCTTTTTGTTCTTTTTTTACCCTGGGCCAACTACAACATAGTTTTGCTTTAGTGCATTTCATTCAAACACATTTCACATTTTTAACTTTAACTACAACTGGGTCATAAATTAGTAATGGGATGTGCTCATTAAAAATGCTGTAACACGAACACGACACCGGATGAACTCCTTAAAACATCTCCTGACCAGTCAAAATATACCCGTGCATATCAAATGCTTGATTTATCTAACAGTAATAAGACCGATTTGGCAGTACGGCTGTTCAATATGGCCCTCGGTATCAGATACACAAATAAAAAAAATCCAAACCGTTCAGAATCGCATCATTCGTCTGATGGCCCCATGGTACGTAAGCAACGTCGCCATTCACCGGGATTTGGATATACCAGATGTCCAAAGGACTCATACGATCGGCACAATGAAAAAATACTGTCACACCCTAACCCACTAATGCAGGATATCGCCAACAATCAGCCACCCCGAGACATCTAAGACGGTTAAAACGTAAAAGGCATTCTGATCTGGCTAACGAAACTTGAATAGACAAATGTGAAAAAAAATTATTGTTACTTATTTCTTATTTATTAATTTATATGCCATTACAGTACAAATTGTTGCGTCCTATTTTTAAATACTATGTGAGGAACGCCATTGGGTGTCACCCCACCACACGTTTCATCATTTTTTTTGTGTATAATATTATGTAGTATCTGTGATAATAACTATAATGTACCATTGTACAAATAAAGTTTCTTCAATAAATTAAAAAAAAAAAAACTTGCTCGAACGACTGATTATATCACATTTAGCTTTACATAATTATCTTTACGCACTTTAATTACACGGTACTGCTAAGATTATTATCAACAAAAGCTATTTACAATAAATTAGTTATTATTATTGTACAAAAAACTAATGCTATCAGTTCAACCAACCTGCATAGTTTTTGGTTGGAGACGTGCTGCCAGTTTTTTCCCTAAATGAAAATCTGATGCTCTGTTCACAAAGGGGGTTTGTAGTAGAATTTGAAGAATCTTTCATCACTGATTGGCCTAATGGTAGGTACATTCAGTCCCCAATGTAATGGAGAGTTTTGCACATACCATTCAACACCTCATTTTGCAGTACCTGGAGTCACCTTATTTTTGGAGGTAGAGGCAAACCTCATACTTCACACCGCAAAGTTTCCTGATAAGCACTTTGCAAATTAGAAGAGTCACTGCAAGTATTCCTAGTCAAACATATCCTTTATTTACTTTTTTTTTTTTTTTCAAAAGTTGGTCCAGGTAAACTCCCAGGGACTTGACTGAACTGTCTTTGGGATTCAAAGTGATGTTCGTTCCTTCAATATTTAGTTCAGGGGAGTTTGGGGTTCTTTGTAGTGTCAAAATCTTAATTTCATATTTACTGAGCTTAATGCGAAGTCTCCAGTCTGAGCGGTATGAGCTGATTTTCTCCATGGCCGCTTGAATACAGATTTGACCTTCTCTGATATCTTTTCTAGTATACGCAGCCATGCTTACATTTCCAGGATTTGGGAAGTCTTAGATGATAGGCTTTTTAACTGATAATAATATTTAAGAGGTATTGTAAAGTGGGACCCCATCGTCCGTGACACCCGGACTGGTAGTTGGAACAGTCCTCTTGTTTGACAGCAATTAATTTACTTTTACTGCACAATTTTGTTCTGTGACAGTTTCAGTAAAATAAGTGAATTGGAAGATTTTGGTCTGTCTGTTCTAGCTGTTTAAGTCTGTCTTACATTTTTCTTAGACAAGATTAGAAAAACTAATATAATAGTTGAACAGTTTTTTCTTGTAGTAAAGTGAAATCCTATAAATTGAAATTTGGTCACTGTTGGAGTTCTGCAAGGATCATATTTAGGACCACTTCTTTTTAATTTTTTTATTAATTATATCAAATTTTCTGACTAATGTTCTTCCTCTTATTTGCAGATCACCTAAAAATTTATCAAATCACATAAGCTATTCGCTGATATTTCCCTTCTTCAAGAAATTCTTCATGCCTTAAGTGAGTTGTGTTCTCAAAATCATTTCAATTTTTGAATGTTTACGAATTTTCAGTAAAATAAGTGAATTGGAAGATTTTGGTCTGTCTGTTCTTGCTGTTTAGGTCTGTCTTATATTTTTCTTAGACAAGATTAGAAATTGAGTTAGCCTTTTTATGACCTGCACATCGTGACTAGTATTGTTCTATTTGCATCTCCATTGCTGTCTAGTGCTCCTCACAAGTTTAAGGTTTTTTGTGTTTTAATGCTATCACTTTTCTTCCCTTTACATTTGTATATAGATATTTATTTATACATTTAAATTTAAAAAAATAATGATAATTGAAAATTGATTCTAGACCAAATTCTCTGAACAGTTGAAAAAGGAGCATCTTGTTTGTTCAAATCTCCATCACTTAAAAGCCCTCATATCGAAGCTGATCAGCGAGGAAAAATGCGACTCTGTACTAGAAGTGTACCACTACAAAGATGAGTATGATGAGAATAATAAAATTTGGGTAGACATAGTGTCACACTCAAAAACCAAATGGACAAAAGTGATTGCGAGGAATCCAAAGGCTCTTTCGCAAATTTCAAAAGGTTCCAGGCTTTCTTGAATTTATATTTTGTAAGTTTGTAACATTGACTTGATTTTAGGAGACGGCGAATATCAAAGAAAATCCGTTATTGATCACGCCGTCGAATTTTTAAACTGCGCTTCTCAAAATTCCATCCTTTATAGGCCACCATTGGTAAAAATATTTAATAATTTTTTTTGACTAACAACAAACCTAATATTTTTACAATATGTACAAAAATTAATTGAATAATTTATATATTACTGTAAATTGTAAATAATTGGAGAAAAATTATTGGGCAAATGGTATATTTATGTTAAACGTTTTTGTCTAGGTAGAATTTCATTTTGCATGTGGTATTGAAAGTGAGCTGGCAGATGAATTATCCAAGCTGGGTGTGTACATTAGTGGTAAAGTAATCAACGGGGATCAAGTAGAATCTTCTTTCGAGCTAAATGTGCCGAAGAAGGATTTAGAAAGGTGATACAATATTATTACCTGGATATCAATTAAATAACTATAGTTTCGCCTTAGAAATATACAAAAACTGAACTTGGATGTCACAGCGATGATTGCCTACGTATCTGCTTTAACAAATGGCAATGTGCATAAAAGGGTAAAGGGTAAAGTTCTAAGCATGCAAGCTGAGAGTGAAAAATTAAATCCTGTAAAACCCGTCCTAGATAAACTATTCACTGGTAAAGTACCACAGTTATAAATTTTGAAATATTTATTTTAATTAAATAGTTAAAGCTGCTAATATCAGTATATTTTCAAACATGATCATGAATTGAAAATATATCAAAGTATTTCAGTATAATTTTGAATGATTTTCTTTAATATGTTGATTTATAATTTCAGGAAAACAATTGTTCGCTTGTAAGACTGTGATAACGACATTCAATTCGATTTTGAGCACAATAGGCGGAGAAGGGGAGAAAAAACGAGCCCTGGAACTCATTAAAAGGGTTACAATCATTGATGATGTGCCCTGCGAGTCTCTTAAGCCTTGTGGTCAATTAAAAGAGAGATCAATTATAATTTTCGGATCTGGTCAAGCGATTAAAGCAGTCACAGTGACAGCGAATTCGGCATTCGTCCGAGCTGCTAGGAATCAGGTAAAAAAATACAATAATCAGTTTTCAAAATTTATATTTGGGATTTTAATTTTAAATAAATAATTAAATTTGTAGTGCATTCACTTCGATGTATTTTTTCACAATCCAAGAGCACTGACTGAGAAGAAAGAGGTGGACTAAAATTTGTTTTTCTATTGCCATGATCTTTGAGTTTCTGTTGCAAAAAAAAAAATAAATAAATAAAAATGAAATAAAATGTTTAATATATTGTTTTTTATTCAACAAATTACCTTTTAAAAATTTGACTTGATTAGGGAATTTGTCACAAGCTTCTTTAATCACTCGATCAGATTCTGATTTTTCTCCAATCTTGTATAAAGCTTCGGCTTTGTACACATGTGCTTTGATACTGTTTTCATTGAGTCGGAGCGCATGTCTTGTGTCCTCGAGTGCATTTTTTGGCAATCCTAGTTTTAGATATGTCAAACAACGATTGTTGTAAAGGAGAGGACTGTCTCTTATACATTTTATCGCCTGGAACATGAAATTATAAGAACAAAACAAAGATAAGACGGGGCAAAGTAAAACCTCATTGAATGAGTGGAGAGCCTTGACGTAGTCTTGATTCCGAAATGCTTTAATCCCTTCGGTTTTATGCCTGTTTGATATTGCTTTCATTTCTCTCCTTTCTGCAGCCCTTCTGTTAGCGTCTTCCTCAACACTCTTCATAAACATCTCTGAAATAAAGAGTTGTGTTTTTGCGATTCAAATTGTATCTTTGTTGCTCACCTTTGGACATGTTATCGGGATTGTCTTCTATCTGGAAAGCCTTGTGATTTATTACAGTTCGGTTGGTCTTTAAGTACAGTTTATCCTCATCTATATCCTTATCAAAATCTTCATTGCCCAAGAGATAGTCCGCTTTTTCCATGGCTATTTTTTGCTTAAGTTCATCTTTTGAATTTAAACCTTTGAGTACATTTTCTGTAAATTTTATACACCCGGAATTGAAGCATCATTGTTTATAAGAATTAAGTAAATTATATATTTATTTCTTCAAATGAATGCAAAAATAGTTACTAAAATGTCATTTACTTCTTACAATAATTGTCCATACATCATAGTAAAGATTACTGATTTATATAAGCTCTGATCTGCACATGTATGTACATAGGCATACAAATGTGCAGAATTCAGCCTATCACTTATCTCAGTCCAGTTTTTGTAATTTACAATAAATTACCGACAAGCCTCGAGAATCACCCACCTTGGGTGTTGGCAGTTCAGGGTCAGACCTTGGTCTTAAGATGGATGGTATAAACTAGTAGGTGCTATCTATTAATCCCACATAATCATAATGATTCCGTTTAAAAGGAAGAGGATCATAGGAAGCTTAAAAATTCCAAGCCTAAACAGGACATTGATTCCATTCTCCAAGAAAAACAAATATCTTCGCCGCAGCTCACATGGAATTCACTCAGAGCCAAAAATTCCTAGGGGAGGTGCAGAAGGCTCTGTGCCAAAAGCTGGGGATTAAACCCCAAAATGACCTTATGGCTCTACACCTGTGTCTTAAGACCAATTTTGACACATGTGTTGGTGGTATGGTGGACCAAGACTGCAGGGGGCCTCGGGTAGCCGAGTGGTTAAGGTGTCAGACTCTCAGCTAGTCGGTGGGTTCGATCCCCACCGTCGCCTCTGGACTTTTTCTGATGCCTAAGGGGACCGGTGGCCGCATTTGAAAGAAATTGACACGACACTCATCAATGGAAGGAGTGGTTTGAGTTTCTTCGACTTCCTGGCACACAGGGGGCTCAGATTCACACTTGTGTTGCGAGCCCCTAAAAAATGGAGCCAGGGATAAAGTGCAATAAGCAAAAAAAAAAAAAAAAAAAAAACAACAAAAAAACCTACGGGGCAAAGTGATTAGGCTATTAAGAGGCGCCCAAAGCAAGCTTGCTTCAGCTCACTGAAGCCATGAGCACATCGCCAATTGTGTCCCGAGGAGCACAACCTCCCCCACTTTCAGCTCTCAGACTCATAAATGGACAACTGCAAGGATAGACCATGTCAACAAACAATGGAAACTGAGGGAGGTGATAAAAGCAGATGACATATTAGGCGTGCTAATTGATGCCACTATCCCAAAATAAAACTTTACCAAAAAATACAAGGTGATATGAGAACAAGAAGAGTATGCCAAAGGAACACCTCTAAAGGGAAATTCCTATTGTATACTGATGGCTCAAAAATAGGAAAAAACATGGAGTCTTCGGGAAGAATCCAAAGACTGAACTGACTTTAAACTTAGGCAAATATACTACAGTTTTTCAGTGTGAAGTCATAGCAATTGAAAACTGTACCAGGGAAATAAGAAGGCTAGGAACACTTTCCCAGAAGATAGCCATTTCCTCTAACAGCCAGGCAGCACTCATGTGAGGTGAAGGCAAAAAGTTTGGGGCATCAAGGCAATGAGAAAGTGGACATGGTCAAAAAAGGAGCCATATGAATTCCCTAGGTCCTGAACCCTACTGTGTCTTAGCATACTGTCACAAAAAAGGATTCATCCGAAAATGGTCCAAAATCTGATGGGAAACCACATCCATATTCTATGAAGAGATTCATAGAAGGGCCATCTACAAGTCTTACAAAGGAATTACTTGGAGGGCAACTGTAACAACCAGGATTCTGGTTGGACTCCTGACAGAGCACTGCCTCCTAAGAAGGCACATGCGCCGGATAAGAGTACAGACGGAAGAAATAATGTGCGGATATTGTCAGGAAGAGGAGTCTGGAATACGTTTTGCATTTTTGTGGAGGTCCTAGTTGCAGATTCTTGTAACTAGGAGAGGAAAAGCCACAAACAAGTTGGCCACTTTTGCTTTGTACAATTGACCTACCACTGATGAAAAACACAACCGTCGGAAAAATTTGCTGCCCTTTCAGTCAAAAAATATGTCCATTCATCCACATACCGACTGCAAATGACAGTCAACAGTATGTACAACCAGACAGATGCTTGGAAAGTCAAAATGTTTTTCATAAATGTATTTATTAGTTTCCGTTTAGCTTTATTTGAAATGAACCTTGACTCATATATAATTGACTTGTTCATATTAAATAATCTTTTATTTAATAATCTGATAATTGTACTATGCACCACTTTGCACAATAAATGTGACTTTCATTAGTTTAGAAGTGTAAATAGATATGAGAAATAAGCAGCTGATTTAGTATAACATGGATACAACTGAATGAGCAACTTGATATTTATCTATTCCTTATTTAAAAAAAAAAGAAGATATAACTCATAAATAGCTTACAAGTATGTGCTTGAATTAACAAATATTAAATATATTAAATTAGTGTAATGTTTTACCAACTCTTGCGACTTTTGCCATAAATTCATCGAAATCTTTGCTAATTTCAGTTGTTTTGAGCTTGAATTTTTCTTGCGTTTCTGCCACAGAACTTTGAGGAATTTCCATTGTGGGGATGGCTATTTTATAGGGAGTTTGCTGTTGCCTTGGCGATTACCAGAAGAATATTGTAACAGAAATCAATCTGCTGTGGGTTGATTTTCAAATTAGTTAAGAACGTTGGCTCAATGTTAAAATTATTTAAATAAAAAGAAATTACATATGATTTCCAAGAGCGCAAATTAGGAAATATAAAACCTGTTTTTTTTTTTTTTATTATTAAATTATGTATTTATCAAAAAGCTACAAAATCTATTTTCTTGTACAAACATTTTAAACTTTATTGGCTTAAAAATTACTTTTAAACTACATATCAGTCTTAACTATACGCATATATAATGATAATTCAGCTAAATTCAATTTTTAAGCTAAAGTGCTACAAAGATTATTTAAGTGGTTTACATTTAAAATAAATACATTAAAAAAAAAACTTTACAAACTAAAATAGAAATACCTAGTCGACAGACAGTTATATTTACATAGATTTAGGATATAAGAATTAAAAGTTAGACAAACTTAACTACACTGTACAAAAAAATAGAAAGAAAGAAAAGAGAAAAAAATTACAGTCTCTTGAAATTATTTACAGAATTATTAAATAATTTTAATCAAATAAACGCAGATAATTTGGATCTGCTTATTGCACTTTTTTATCCAATTTCTTGTGAAAATGCAAATTAAGTTATAAAAAGTTTTCATGAGTAATGAACAGTTTTACCACTCCATACCAGTTTACAAGGCTCTTTTATTCAACTTGAAAGAATTTCCTTCCATACATTCAAAATTAAATATATATTTATACCTAAACTTAAAAAACTGACACACATAACCTAAGATAAACTAGTTTGGAATTTGATGGACTAAGCAGTAATTTTACTATAATAAAGTATGCATCAATTTGTAGTAATTCTATCTAAAATTTATTGTTTATTGTGATAATGTATTTTTTAGTTTCTTCAACAGTATTAAATTTTACTTCGATGTCCACAGTTATGGTACAAAAGATTTTTCCAACAGTGATTACTATACAGAATTCAACTTAAGTATCATTAAGTATTTCTAGTCACTTAGCTTAAACTTAGTTTTGGACATACAACTTTATAATAATTAATTAACCCTCTATTTCCAATTTTTTTTCTAGTAGTGTTATACATCAAGAGTTTATTTTTGAAAACATATATAATTTAAACATTAAAAATATAACATTTGTTATAAATAAATCGAAATGTTAGAAAAATGTACATCAAGAGATTGACAAAATTTTATTACCTTATAGGTATTTTAATAATCATAAGTTAATCATTTTAACTACTTTTATTTTACTTCAGTAAAAATTTTCAATCTGTTAATTATGTTTTTAATTTTTAAAATAATGGATGTGATGTCTTACAACATAACGCCAATTACAATGGGGATGTAAGGAAACATTGTAAGTTGAGAATGTTTTAAGTGTTAAATTTCATTTAGACCGATTACATCGCTTTTACCTTATGGTGGTCATTGTTGGGTCTTCCCAGTGGATTTGCTCCAGGCTGTCATTCACCGCTGCCGTTTGTCTATGATGATGGCGAATACGGTGTGGCTTAGTCACAGGTGTGATCGGGTACCTCAGTCCTTTATGGTTCAAAATATCTGGCTCAGCGTACTCAATCGTTGAAATCTCTACGGTCGGATAGAACTGTATGCCTGCTCTAGCGATCAGTGTTTTGTTTTGTAATGCATCAATGAAAAACACTGGTAGTGGTCTTGCGTTTACTAAATTAAAATAATGCAAGTAAGAATAAAATATGGCTAATTTATTATTTAGTGATTACTTACTAGCTTCTTTTGAACAATTCATAGGTGTGAAATATCTGCTCGCCTGCTGAATGGTGCTGTCTTCATCTTCGACTTCAACTGCTAGGCCAAAGTTCTTCCCTGTTTCTCTCCAAGAGTTGACAGCAGTTTTGACATCAAGCTCGGTCCAGTCTTCACCGTAGTATGAGAGCATCTGGCTGTCAGCAAGCTTCTTTTTGGCTGAAATGTTACATTTTATGAATTTTAATATTTATTGAGATATAATATGTATATGAGAGAAATACACTCCGTTTGGGATGGAGTGAGGCTGTTGATAAATGATTAAGCTCAAATCTGCACATGCATGTGCGATACATACTTCTGGAGCCTAACCTTGTTTCCTCAAAGACTTGCAGCTCTTTTCAAGCACAATTCTCAAATGGAGCCAAGTAATTAAAGTACTGCATCGAAATATTCACACTACACATTCATGCTTATAAATACATTCAGTCTCAATATACACAAAGAAACACAAAACGAGATATCTATCTTGTAGTATATACAGTAAAACAGCCCTATTTCCTCCAAAAATTGAAACAGGGACCGAAATACTTGCTGCCATGCTCAAGACAATTCTCAAATTGGGTGGCATCCCGCTCAATTAAGTTAAACACATTGAGCAACCTTTCTCTATATGCTGGGAGTCATAGACAAACGTAAAATTTAATATAATCTTTGGATAATTATTATAATGAACTATCCTAAACCTATTTTGTCTAGCGTTTTGGAATGTTAAAACTTCTGGGTTACTAATATCACAATATCTTTACAGGGTATTTAACATTATGACGCGAAAATTACCAAAACGTCCGCATATATACGAGTATGATCAGATATCCGTCATTTCCAAGTTCAACCCCACAAGCTCCACTATTGGTAAAATACAATATATCTGCTATAAGATTTGTTGATATTAGAAATAAACACATTTTCTTTTACCTTTTGATCTTTTGACAGCTTTTGTGTAGTAATAGACTGAAACTCGAATTCTCTGGTCTATTCCGGGTCTTGGTGTAGTGAAAGGATTGAAACCATCAGACTGCCAAATCATAAAATTGTTAAATATATTCCAGATAATGTATTACTTTGAATATTAATAATTACCAAAGATCTTTTAAACAGCCGTAATTTTGCCGAGTGCACATCTAACTTCAATCCTGGTGTAGGTGTAGGATAAGTCAGTTCGAAGAAGAGGTTCATTGCTTGACTAACATCCCAGGCTTCTTGATCAGAGTTCCTCGGAATCTCACCTAATGAACAATCATAAAATATTGTCTCACATTTATCATTAATATATTTGATTTACAATCCTGAGAAAAGTTAGCTCAACTGAAGTTAAAAAACATGATTATCAAACTAAAATAATAAACGAAAAATTCATTAAAAAAAATATTGCATAAATTGAATTTTAAAGTGCAAAAACTTACAGCTTGGATAGAAACTTTGCTTTTTCTCAGTGAATACATTCTCAATCGGCCAAGGATATTTCGTCTTGACAATCACCTCCTGCATGATTTGAGACTGCTGCTTCGTCGGCTGGGGCAATGAGGACGAGTTGGACTTGCCGTCCCGTCCTGCAAACTTGAGGACTTGCTCCTTTATTATTCTGAGCCTCTGTTCACGGTCCCTGTTGGAATTAATACGAGTGCTGTTTTGAAAAGCAGTGTGAAACAAACAGGCCGAGATGCAATTAATTCAAATACAAAGCAAAAGTGGTAGGTGAAATTCTTCAATCAATGCAAAAAAAAAAAAAAAATTAGAAAAAAAATCACACAGATTAATCATATTGTGAATAAAACAACACAAGCATTAAATGTGTTTTGCTCTTAAAATTCAAACTTACAAGAAAAATATACTTATTCGTTCTTTAAAGTTTTCTCGGTGAAGTTGATACTTGTGAACACCTGAAATTCTTTGATGTGTGTGAGCGAGCATTATTATAATACATTTTATATTACTCACTTTTTATTTTCAAGTTGTTCATAAAAAAAAGTATTCTATCAAAATGATGGCTTTGTAATGGAAATCACATTTAATTTTTGCAATATTATCATTTATGAGCAAAATGGTTTCCTCATAGGTCGTTTACAATCACAAATCTGGAACACTCCAGCCATAAAGTTTAAAGTCTTTTGATAAAGGCTTTCAAGTTGACTGTATTTATACAGACTTCTCCAAAGTCTTTGACAGTCTACCATGTTCTTTTATTAGCGAAACTTGAACTCTATGGTGTTCATGAAAAACTAATATAATGGTTGAACAGTTTTTTCTTGTAGTAAAGTGAAATCCTATAAATTGAAATTTGGTCACTGTTGGAGTTCTGCAAGGATCACATTTAGAACCTCTTCTTTTTAAATTTTTTATTAATTATATCAAATTTTCTGACTAATGTTCTTCCTCTTATTTGCAGATCACCTAAAAATTTATCAAATCACATAAGTTGTACGCTGATATTTCCCTTCTCCAAGAAATTCTTCACGCCTTAAGTGAGTTGTGTTCCCAAAATCATTCCAATTTTTGAATGTTTACGAATTTTCAGTAAAATAAGTGAATTGGAAGATTTTGGTCTGTCTGTTCTTGCTGTTTAGGTCTGTCTTACATTTTTCTTAGACAAGATTAGAAAAACTAATATAATAGTTGAACAGTTTTTTCTTGTAGTAAAGTGAAATCCTATAAATTGAAATTTGGTCACTGTTGGAGTTCTGCAAGGATCACATTTAGAACCACTTCTTTTTAAATTTTTTATTAATTATATCAAATTTTCTGACTAATGTTCTTCCTCTTATTTGCAGATCACCTAAAAATTTATCAAATCACAAGTTATTCGCTGATATTTCCCTTCTCCAAGAAATTCTTCACGCCTTAGGTGAGTCGTGTTCCCAAATCATTCCAATTTTTGAGTTTTTATGAATGATTCATGCACTTGAACACTTGGCATTTTATCTTCTCCATACTTATAATCTCAATTCTTTCCCTCTATATATACCATATGATGAAAAGTTGGCCTTCGATGATCATATCTCTTTTATTAAAAATATTATATACATTCGCCAATCCAACATCCACTCTCTACAAGACATTGGAATACTTTCTATAAAAAATATTCTCACTCTGAAGAATCTGTCCGAAGAAAGTTTTTTGGACTCTTAGTATTTTGATGTAAAATACAATTTACAAATTATTCCCAGTTTTAGCTTCAATACTCTCATCGTCCATCACATAGGGATTATTTTGATATTATTTTCTTCCATTGTCTTCTTTGCTTTTCAAACGTAAATAAACTTCCCCTCGTTTCTCTCTTTATAGATTTACTCCAACCATCCATAAATTTTACTCGAAATTCCTCACTACTTTACAATTATTTAAAGCATTACTCTCTATTTAGAATCATGATTATCATTAAACTAGGCAATCAATTAACTAAAATTTATTCTATTCCAACCTGGCAAGAATTTTGTAAAAGAAATTGTACTTTGTAAATAACTTTTAATATTATTTCTTTCCCCATTGTTTTGTCTTTATTTTATTTATTTATTTTTTTTTTTAATACTCATACACTGTATTCCTTAACAAGTTATGTGTTACCTCAAAATGTTTATTGTAAAAGGAGCAATGATAAAATAAAATATAGACGCAATTGTTTTGTGATGAAGCTTAAAGTTTTTAGCTAGTAGTTAATTCATTTTAATGGTAAATTAAAACTGTAATTTTTTAGAGCAACATTTTAAATTTCAGTTTGTCGTCATTAAAGCTGACCTTTGATAATCAATACCTAAGCGTAGTCTTATAAAGTTTTTGCTTTTTTAATTTAAAGCGATACTATTATGCTAATGTCGAAATCATTTACAAGATTTGAGTTGAAAACAGTTACAGAACAAAAATTTTGGTTTTTGAAGTGTAAGTTAAAACATCTAGAAACAAAATCTTGCTTGTCATAAAACTTCTGTTGTAAGCACTTGAGATTTTTCTGTCTTGAGTAAGTCAAGAAAAGGGGTAATTTCGAGTCAAGAATGATCCAGGTATTGCGCGAATTTTTTGACTTTTCTCACAAAAATCGCTATCGAATAACATTTTGAATTATTTGAAAGAAATACTGTTACAAAAATACGGTTTCGATTGGGAAGTACTAAAGGTTGGAGAATTAATGAAGGGCGCAAGCATGTTTTTTAGTACCTAACTTGTAAGTGCAGTAAATTTCTAGAGTTAATTTACTGGTAATATAATTTTCTAATTACAAAAGGAGCAACGTGTTTTATACGATTAAAATTGGGCGGTGATGGTATTAAAAGTTTATATTTACAAGTCTTGCTGAACATTTGTTCGAATTGGACCTGATTGGCCAAAAAAATATTAAATCGAGAAAATCACAGAGGACGGGGAAAGGATGCAAGTGAACATGTTCTCTCAGTTGTATTTGTTTTTTTCTATCTGTCTGGCATCCTGATGGATTTTCTTCCTGTCTCAGACGTATATCGTCCCCCTCCGAAGATCCCGGCCTTCTGCACATTCTTAGGCAAACGGACTCTCCGACTATAGTGAGAAACAGCCAAAAATGATTCTTGTATTATGATGATTCAATAGCAATAAACACGTGCTAATTCAAGCAATTTCCAAGCATTTAAGCATTAAAAAAAAGTTTGCATAAGTTATTTTAAGTTGGAAATATAGCGTTGACTTAAATTCAGTATTTTAACGTTTGTTATAAAAACTAGAGTTTATCATAATTGATAAGATAGTACATATACACCGGTTGTTTCTTATTCTGATATGGCCTTTTCGCAAATAAGAGAGAATTTTTTGTCTGGTTCTCAGTCGGCCATTTACATCTGGCTTAGTTTCTTTCATGTTATCTACAAATGCATTCCATCTCATTGCCCATTTTCTTTTTTCCATACAAGGATGAAGGAAAATCTTTAAAAGAACGAAAAGATCGCCTTCCTCGGGGGCCGGATTGAACTCGAGTACTTCTGATATGATCAGAAGATTCAAAACACCCTTGATTTATATTTATCTGTTTTATTTGAATTTTAATATTCCTAGAGACTGCACGTACGAAGAGTTTCTTCTATATTTCTGTATCTATTACGGACACATTTAATTTTGACGGGCAACGGTTTAGGCGTTGATACGGCACTCATCACTGTAGGGTAAAGGTACATTCTTTAAATGGAATAGTGTGTATGGTGATGATGATGAAAATGATACGTGGATGAAGGGGTTTGGCATTCTCGAAGTTACAGTAGCCTTTTGTTCTTATCCTGGTTCCTTCGTTGAGGTCAATTGTCTCGATCCTTCTTTTAAAAGTGTTAAGTCATTGGTGCAATTTTTCACAGGTTCTCTTAGTATCCTAGGTTATGTCAGCATTGAGCAGTTTCTTGGCATTCGAAGATAATAGCTGAGGCAGTTTCTTCCTTCTTATTGAATACAAATTGGGCCATCGTTGAATATACCAAAGTGCAGGTGTTTCTAAGATGACAGTGGTATTCCTGTCACTCCCCTTAGTTTTACCCTGTTAAACTGTAGAATTAGAGTTATTTCGACTCATGTGTCTGCCAATTTTGGTGAGGGTTGCTTAACCATAAGCTTATTGTCTTCCTCTAGCCAGGTTGTCGGCTTGTTCATTGCCCAGAATGCCTTTGTCCCCTGATACCCAATATATATTGTCAGTTATGTTTGTAGTTCTATCACTCCCCTGAATTTTATGCCTAAGTGCGAAAATGTAACCACGAGCGTGATACGTCTGGCATTTATAGATTTCGTTCACTTTTCCTTTTGTTTTTGTGGACCCAGAGTCTGATGTTACAAGATTCTGGCCTTTATATGAGAGCTTGCAGAGTTTCTGATCAGTTTGTTTTTTTATTACCCAAAACCCCTTTGGGTCTTGGCACTCCAGATGTCTGCTTGTTATATTTTCCCAGGTTTTGAAGATTTCGGATGCATTCACTGACTATTTTAGATGTGACCTTTTGACTTGCTTATGCAGGACCGCTTGGTTGTCTGATTTTTTTCGTCGATGTAATCTCTTTTAAGATTTTTTATGGTACGAGCATTAATATCATGTATTTCAGTTTGAAAGAAACTGTGAAGGTTCTTACCACGAGTTTATTATGTCTGGAACCTCTAGAGTTCATACATTTCTCTTTTTTTTGTATGGGCGCATTCTGAGTTGGAGGTAATTCCAATTAGAGGTTCTGAGCCAATATATTAGCTAGTAGAGCTTCTGACAAGTTTGCCCTTTGTGCTGTCAGGATGTTAGTTTTCCCAAATTTTGGAGATTTAGGATGCATTTACTGTTTATTTTGGATATGGCATTTTTACGTCCTAATGCTTTTAGATCTGCTTGGTTGTTAGATTTTACAAGTATCTCTCCTTTATATTTTTTAACTTGATTGACCAAGTTGTCCATAATGAGTTCGATTGCTCTACGAGCTTTCATAGAATATACCAGACCCGATTTACTAGTTTACCATCCGTGTACCATACAACAGTATTTTGATTTTCTACGGATTGCTTCACCTTTTTCCAGCCTTTTAAAATTTTATAGGATGCTGTAAAGGATGTTTCCCAGATCATATAGTCAGTTCCCATTTCCAGGAATGTTAGATTTTATTTATTATTGTTGCATGCTCGAAATATAAAATCCCTAGAAATGATTTTATCAGCTTTTCCCAGCTTCTCCTTTTATATAAATTGTTGATAGTTCAAATACGGAATTGTAAGTGGATATATTTATCTGTAAATACATTGTGATACAAGTAAAGCCATTTTGGTGCATAAATAAATTGAAAAGTATTTATGATTGGCAGACTTGAGTTACGCTTTTGATGTCCTATGATTACTTTATTCTTCTCGCAATCGCGGTTTTATAAATATTACAAGTAACGACTTTTTCACTCACGGACATTCTGAATCAAGCTATGGTCTTGAAGAAAAAGGCAAATTCAGTGGTTACTGTCAGGTTTTCGACCTATTTTAAGGTCATCATCAGGACGAAACAATCTTAAATATGCCTATAGATTGACAATTTTTTTATATCGATTTTCCTTGAAGACTCCAACATTGCCAAGTATGTAACAGTATTGCAATGAAAATCAATCTGTAGATATGTTTAAGTTTAGCCCTGATGACCATAAAATAGGTCGAAAGTTTGCCAGTCCAGCGAATCAATGATTTACTAATCTTAATGTAAAAAAAGTAAATTTAAATTTAATTTTTACTAGCATAAAAGGTGGTTAATGTCCAATTTCATATAGCTGGTTTGATTGAAAATGTTCTAAAAGTGTGATGAATTTTAAACAATGTTACTACGAACAAGTCAGCATTTATAGGTTAATTATAAATTACTGATAGTCCAAATAAGTTATTGTATGTGCTGATAAATATAATAAATACTTATAAAGTCTACCTTTGCGATAAAAATAAAACCACTTGGTTATAAAATAAATTGAAATGGATTTATGATTATTGCATTATTCTTTTTATGTTCTATGATTTTTTCTTTCTTCTCGCAATAAATTTTTTATCGGTCTTAATGTAAAAATAAAATAAGTAAAAGTAAATAGTAGTTCCTTATATGTTCCTTGAAAAAATATAAAAAATATTACTTTGTACATACAAAATGTGGTTAATATGGTAAAGAAACAAATTTCATACCACAGTTTAAATTGGCAATGTTGTTAAACATATTTAAAGATTTTTAAATTTAAATTGTTTATAGTTATGATGACTTGATGCTTATTTTCAACATTGGACATACGAATAAATCAACATTTACAAGTTAACTTACAAACTGCTCATACTTAGTCAAAGTGCGATCTTCCGTCTTTGGAGAGCATGTGTAAATGTGAAGTGTTTATGATTAGTTCAGATTGGTATTATGCTTTTATGTACTATGTAATTCATTCTTCTCGTACTTTTATCGGTTGTAATGTGAAATAAATTAAATCATAAATGGTAGCACAATTTAACAAATATTCTAAGAGAGTTATTTCAAAATTTGAAAATATTGTCTGTTTAAATGATTTGGTCGTTAAATTTAGCGGATAGGGAAAGTACCTGAAATGTCTTTTTCATAAAGGAAATATCAAGAATACAACAGTTTAAAAATACATGGTAATAAAATGTTAAGTTCAGTTTCAATTGGCAATGTTTTACAATATTAATTTTTAATGGATTATTACTAAGCATAATATTTGATGCTTATTTCCACCAATTGAAGTTAAAGGAAAATAAGTTATTTTTGATAAGTGCGATACGATGCAGAAAAGCTGAATTGTTAGAGACATGAAGCTGTAATTGGATGTGTAAAAGCGGTCAGAGAGAAGCGATTAATTTTTTCAAATCACACGGAAAAAACAAACCAAACAGATTAAACGTGATTAATAATTTATATAAAGCATACCTTCCACCGAGGATATCCCAGCTGTAAATAAAAAAATAAAAAAAAACAATAAGAATTTTATTAGTGTCTAGATTTGTTTCTTATTCAAAAGGTGTACAATTCTGTCGAGTTGTTTGGAGTCGAAATGACACCGTCTGGGGCCGGCATGGGCAAAAAAACGTAATGCATTGCTGAAAATAGGCCTTGTTTTGGGTAGGACCAGGACTTGGAGGGCGGACCCGGGTCCAATACTCATTGAAGATTCCAATAAAGACTTCTTACGAGGTCTGGCGAGCCGCTTAAACCAGATGTACGTACGTAATTGATTTGGGGAGCCGGCTAAAAAGCCGTCTCTCCTCGCCCTTAAAAAGACCCCGCCACCGTAAAGAGTTTGAATTGTCCAGTGCGTTAAGCCTTTTTAAAACCGGAGGGTCCGTGGCAAAAAAAAATTATACAGTCTCGTAAACAAAATAAGAATCAAATCCTCAAAGCGATTTTTTCCCTACGGTCTCACCCAAGCCCTCTTGCCACGGGTCGGTCCCTCGCTTCGCGGCTCTTCTCTAAAAATAACGTAACACAATTTCATTTCTGCGAAGACGGGAGGTGAGAGGAAAATCTATATGCAGAGTCTAGACTCCGCGTATTGATTGTGAAATCTGACTAGTAGTACTTCACCTTCTACCAGAACTGAAGGGTTTACAAAATCTAGGTGTTTTTCGCTCAAAAAAAGTCCACAAAGGATAGAAGTAGATCAAAGCCAAACTATTCACTATAATTGAATACACATACAAAAGGCTGAGACTTTAACTCTACTCTTTGAGAACGACAAGAAAATTAAAATAAAATATAACTTTGTGCATTATTTTTCCAATAACATGGTCCAGGACAAATAATTTGTTGATACAATCTTTTTATTTACATATCAAAATTTACATATCAAATTCCTTACTGTAATTTTACTACTAAACCTAATATTTAAATAAACGATTCATCAAAATCACCAGAAATATTTTCCCTACATGACAACGAGGACCAGAATACTACAAAAAATAATAATTAACAAAAATTACTATGCACTATTCCTCGATACCATCATATACATAAATAATTACAGTTCATAAAAAATTGCAAAAATAACACTAGTTGTAAAGGATATTTTATAGTATAAACAAATCGAAAAGAATGAAAATAATTTTCCAAATTTTTATATATTCATTTATATTGTCGTTTTATGAAAAACAAGTGTAAATTATAATTAATTCACAGTTTTAATGATGTACGTTTTTGTTTTTTCGAAAATTTTCAAAAATGCAACGAAATTAGAAATCCACTGCCAATAAATGTATTTTCTCTTGTTTTTTGAAAACAAAAAGAGAGAGAAAATCCTTCCAAAAAAGAAACACATAAAAAACTCACAGTGAATCTTGCTGGAAATGCTAAATGTTCACATAGTTTTTAAAAGAAAACAACGAAAAATTTAATCATTTTTTAAAAAGATTCTGTTGATGGGTGTAAATTCCCGAAACATCCAAATAAATGTTTAAATAAGTCATTAATTTACCTTAAAAAAGCCACAAGAAATTTTTTAAGACAAAACCCAAAAATATTTTCTTTGTATAATTTAAACATAAGCTGATACAAATAATTAAAAGTTAGTATTTTCTTTTGTTATAAAGCCTTACAAGCCTTCGTATACATGGTGAATTGAAGAAAGTTTAGACCTCGGGGCAGTTTTCAATAATAAATGTTCCTTTATACCTCATATTGAATCAGTTATTTCTAGTTCTAACAGAAATTTCGGTTTCTTTAAGAATTTTCCTGCCATTAAGTGCTTATACTTTGGTCTTGTTAGAAGCATAGTTACATATTGCTCCTTGATTTGATATCCTTCGGTTTGTAAGATTAGCCTGGTCCGTATCGAATCCAACGTCGTTTCTTGAAATTCTTGGTATTTAAATTGGGTCTCCAATGAATCGAGTTCGAATTTGAGCATTCGTTAGATATAATTTTATCTTTTGTCATCAGAAGATCGATCCATGGTGATGTGCTATGTTTTTCATGGAAATTATTGAATAGTCTGTACCATTGCCCACAGTTACTTTAAAATATTAAAATGTTACCGGACTGTGCATGCTAAGTTTGGAAATCCCACTCCTTTTTAACAGAATTAATGAAAATTAATGAAATTTGCGATAAGTATAATGTATTCATTTTTGGGTCGTTTTATTTGTTTAAAAGAGAAATTTGTAAATATTTCGAATGTAAATAATGTTAGATTAGTATTTCTAATGAGTATTTCTGAATATTATGCAGTGGACTTCACTAGTTGGGATATCCCTTTAATGTGATTAAATAAAGAATACAAAAATAAAAAATACGTGAATATTTTCTGTTTAACAAAATATTAACAATATTTTTTTTTTTTGTAAAGGAAATATCAGAATTCATTGCAAAATAAAATATACTTATACGAAGTAGTTTCCCACTGATGATGGCGCAATGCTGAAACGCGTTTGGGTTTCAAAAACTCGCGAGGGTAGACGGATCCAATATGTAATCCAAGTGCCGGTTCAACTCATGTTCACCGATTAGCAGACCAACAGCCACCATTAATTAAAATATAATTTTTTTACAATATTTTTCTAAAAGTTGGTCGATATCAATTATTTTGTTTTGCCTATCCTTCGAGGAATGCCACAGAATTACAGGTTCATCACCCAGAAAGGCTCTCGGACAAGGGTTCAAGAATTATGAATCGGATGAGAAACATGCTATGAATTTTTCCTTTCACTTAACACTGCTTTATAAGTGATAAAAAATGCTTTAAAGCTTTAAAATATATATGTAATTCGGTCGTTAGTAATCATCTTGGTCTGATTATCCTCAATCCTCCATCTTGCACCTCGCTATCTTCAGTGTGTCTTTCTGAAAGACAAATTGTTGAAACGCGTCTGACAAACTCAGCGAGGATAGACAGACCAAAATGAACGATACGACAAAATTAAAGATTCATAATCTAGCAGAAAGCACGAAGAAATCTCACATATAAATACAAAATCAAAGAGATCGTAAGTATTGTAATTTCACTTGTAATTGTAATATTTTGTTGTAAAAATATTACACATGAATTTAACCATTTTTTTTGGGGGGGGGACAACGAGTTAAGTCAGTGTATGGCCAAAAAGAATACTCAGGATTTTTCATGTTTCGCTTTTCACAGATGATTACAGTTGATAGCAATTGTCACAGAAATAACTGTCGTTGGAATTTAGATGGTTAGTGGATTATTAAAACCAAATTTTCCGTGGCGTTATTTTTTGATTATAATGGCCTGTAATCAGCAGCCAAAATTGGCCAAATTCTCGTCTCCATACCCCGAAAATTTTAAATCGTTACAAAAGGGATGTAAGTGTTAATTTTCTAACAATTTTCTAAATTATAAAAATGTGAAGTTACAACAAATGAATACAGTAACAATTAAATTGTTTATTGTTTGCCGATAAAAAATTAAACGGCCTTTAAAATTTATGCATGCAAATTGGATTTTTATATACGAGAATAGTAACAAGAAAATAATCCTAAATATGTAAAAATTAACAAACATCTTTATTTTTGTTAACATTATCGTGTAGATAAAAAAAGTCAGTGTCACGAGCGGGATTCGAACTCACGACCTTCGGCTAGATACGCCGCTACTGTCTTTTTTATCTCAACTAAAAATCTTAATTGAAAAATATTAGTCGGTCAAGCGGACCACGAAAACTAGTGAATTATCGTGTAAGTGTACATTAAACAAAAAAAAGGTAAGTGACAATATACATTTACTATTATGTTTTTATTTATTTACAAATCTAAACAAAAATAACATGATGAGATTTACTGTTGTGGTCCGCAGGGTGATAAACCACTAAACAATTTTAGTCTACCTATTATCGCTGTTTTTTTGTCAGTTGTATTTCGGCTTTTCGCCATCTTCAGTGTGTCTGAGTAATTCTGATAAGTTTGTTTTCTCTGATAAATCAAGTTTGTTTTTAAGTTAAGGTGGTGTGCGTATGTTGGATTGGAAACCGTGTCAGGATGACTGCTATTCTACGAGTCAAATCCTCGGAGGTAGTATAAAAAAAATGTAATGTTGTCGATTCAATTATTTTTGATTTATCAGTTTAAAAGGGTCAACTAACCAGACGGACTACTGTCCATGCAGTTGCGTTTATTCTCAAAGCTTGAGTTACTCGTTTTAATTGTTGAGGCAGACGAATTGCTGATAGCCTTGTCGTACCACTTGTAGCTGGTAAGGAAAAAAATCCGAGGACAGGCCAGTAGTGGCGGACGTACTAGACAGTCTGTCTACTAAACCTTATCTTATTTATTCCCTAGCCGGCCGGCCGTCTGAAAAAAACCACGTACTCGCTCATAGGATGGTCGTAAAGTCTACACCGAGACATTTTTAACCCCTTTGGATTTTTTGGCACGCTCAACTGCCCTTTTAAAACAGTTTTATTGACGTGATTGGCTATTTTAGAACGGCGGCTAGAAACGGTTTCAGTCTTGATTTGTGACACCGGGGTTTGAACTGTCGAGGAAATCCGCCGTTTTACGTTTATTCTTGGAATTCCTTTTACAGGACGTCACAGACTCTGGAAAAGACCCGGTCAGGTCTCGGTCAAATTAAGACCGAAGACGTGCGATGACCTATAGCAGATGGTTAAAGCAACGGTATACTCCACGTTAAAAACAAAAATGAAATCAATAAATCATATAATAATCAACATATATATAGTACCTGGGACAAACATAACCGTTGGTAAAATCATAAAGCTGAAAGAAGAACGCCATGTTAAGCTAAAGCATATCATCAGATGACCTCACTTCTTTTCCTTGTCTCATGATTTCATTAAAAAAGTAAATTTGTCTTCTCCACGTTAATTTATTTTACTAATACATTACCGTTTGCAATTATTAATTAATAACAAATTATTTTCAACGTAATTAGCGATCAGCTTTCAACATTATAATTATAGCTTTTTCCTTAAAATTAATCC